TTATAACCTTTAGCCAAGGCGAAATTTGTTGACTGGTTCACAGAAGTGTATGGTTATTCCTTAGATTACGGTTAAATACGAGTTTTTTATGTTTTTTATTAGCGCATCAAACCCGGTGATATGTACATATATATTTACATATGCACACATTTAATTGATCATAAATAAATATGAAAGTGAAGACGTACGGCTCACTTTCAAATTGAGCAAACCGGTTAAAGTGAGCTATATACTTGTCGAAAATAAGAAGGTCTGCGTGATATTTATGTACATATACATGATGAGTTCAAATATATAAATACAAGTATTTACATAAATATGAACACGAACGCTTTGCATATAAATTTGTGTACATATGTATGTTGAAACATACGTGAATATCTTCGGAAAAACGTTGACTGTGTCGCGAAACCAACAACGGTCTTGCGCGTCGGTAGATGCAAAATAGCAAAATAGGTATGATTATGGATAGCAGAGTGTGAAAAAAGGCGCCTGTTTAAGAAAAAATCATGCCTTTTTGCCGTTTTAATGACCAATTGCCTTTTTGCGTGCCTTTTTCCCTGTTTGATTCCTTTTTGCCCTTTGCCTTTGGAAATTGCCGGAACCATTTTACAAATTTTCCTATGGACAAGAAAGTGTAAAAACAATGTAATTTGCTTTACATATGGATTTTTCTAAATCGTTACCAACCTTACACTTCGCCACAACTACTCCACAAAATTTTTACCTATACTATGCACTAATAATAATTACGAGGATTTATGAATTTTATACACCTCAAAATGTGTATACTTTGCTTAGTGCGATTATCGCACTGCGATATCGTCAATCATCCACTTCGCCCTAATAAACATAGCCTGATTGGTCACGTCGATAAATCCTGTTAACTTTGAAACATTGCAACTACATAACAAGGTATGATTCTACCCTTCCGGACCAATCTTTTTTTCGCATTTTTTGCACGTTTCAGAACATTCTTAAGACTTTTATTTTTTCACTGAAAAAGCTTAAACATTTTCGAAAAATTATTTTCGTCGAAATTCTACCCTCGGTATTGGGGTATCGTTCTTTTTTAGCGAGCGAAGCGAGCAGGTTAGGTTAGGTTAATTTTGCGTGCCCGTGTGTCCTAGAAATTTGCGTACCGTGTGTCCTAGAAATTTGCGAAAAGTCTTAGAATGTTCTGAAACGTGCAAAAATGCAATAAAAAAGTGGTCCAGAAGGATAGAATCCTTAAGGAATCTACCCATCTGGACCACAAAAAAAGATGGTCCAGAAGGCTAGACCTCAACCCATAACAAAGCATGCGATTGTATTATCATATAGTCCCAATTTTACCTAAACGTCATTTCGGGCAATCGGGCATATCCAAAATTCACGTGCGTAATAGGCAAAAGGGCATTTTAGGCACGGCATGCCTTTTTGCCCTTGCACACTCTGATGGATACGATTAAGTATGGATATGCATATGATTATTTTTATGCGAATTTTCTATAAATATGGAATGAGTGAGACTATAAACTGCGGCAAATTTCTCGTGTTTACTCCCGCTGAATCTATGTCTGCCGACGTCTTCTTCACACAAAAATTAAAAATATTGAATATTGAATATTATGACGATTGAAATTTGAAATTCAAAACTTGTTGATGCGACCAACTGAACTTACTGGCTCTACGATCCAGTATACAGTTGGTCATGCTCTAACTTAAAATAATGTTGCCTCTGACGGTGGGAGACACCCGTCCCAACGTGCAGTTATTAGCCGCCAGCCGCCGCCAGCCGAACTCAAGATAGAAGCCAGCCGCCCAACCGTCAATTTAGCCGTCAGCATCCAGCCACCAGCAATTTGGCAGCCAGCCGCCAGCAAAAAATTATCAAATTTCCCAAAATTAAAATTATCAAATTACCCCAAATTACGATTGTCTGAAACGTAAAACCTACACACGGACTCCAAAATGGTAATTTTTTTGTTCGAAATTCGTAAACAGCAAATCCTATCGTATATATATATATTCTTGACCAGGGTGACCCAAGGAATGCGCCTAATTTATTTTGTGAGGTCACACCCCCCGGGGGGCGGACCATTGGCTTACCATTTCTTGGTAAAGCTCGTAAACGTTTTTTCGACGATTTCGACATGAAATATCTAGAGCATCCCGCTCGCTTCCAGCTAACCTTTGTAGGATTATGTAGTCCTCGAGGGATTAAATCAAACTGCACTACGTTCACTTCCCCATGTTTCCCACTTAGGGCAGGGGGTGTGGTCGAAACAGCCCCAGAACGCGTGTTTTATAACCTTCAAATGCATGAACCACCCGAACCATTAGGGCTAAAATTCTGAAATTTGGCAGATAGCATCAACGATAGTTGCTTAACAATATTCAGGGGTCAGTCTCAACTTCCCCCCACAGGGGGGGTGGTTCGCTCCCCGGGGGGTGTGACCTCACAAAAAAAATTAGGCCCATTCCTTGGGTCACCCTGGTCAAGAATATATATATATACGATAGGATCTGCTCCTTACGAATTTCGAACAAAAAAATTACCATTTTGGAGTCCGTGCTACAGTGCAGACTTGATATAGCCCGAGTCAGGCGTAAATCTGTTTTCAAATTAAAATTTTTAAAACTTCGAATTCTTGAATTAAGAGCCTTTAGTAACCCATATACCGAAATGTATCCACTATCACTAAATGTAATCGGCTATCACTAAATTTGTGTTAGTGCACAAATTTTTTTCCCTTGGTCACCAATATCGACTGTGACCATAACTTTGAAACGAGTGTATAGTTTTTCTTAAAACTTTCAGGATATTATGTTACCAATATTCGATGTAACATATATAAATTCCAGGTATGTGGGTGACTAGGGTCATATGTTTTTGTTGGTACACACATATATATTTTTCTTGCTGGTCACCAGTATAGACCATGACCATCACTTTGAAACGAGTGTACAGTTTTTCCTAAAACTCTCAGGATATTATCCTAGTAATATTAGACGCAACATATGTAAATTCCAGCCACGCGGGTGACTAGGTTCGTACACATTTGTTGGTGCAACATATTTTTCTCCCTGGTCACCTTATTGGGTCGCCCAATAAGGTCCTCCAGATGAAAATTTTTCTTATTTTACTTCATATTGTTCCATTAGGAGCTAGTACCAACTTGTCGACCAAATTTCAGTTCGATTTGACGAATTTGAAAAATTGGTATGGGTCACCCCATAGGGTCTGTCCAGGTGAAAATGTGTCCAATTTCAATTCATATTCTTCCATTGGTAGTCATTAACAACCTATGTACCAAATTTCAGCTTGATTTGCTAAGTTTTAAAAATCAGTATGGGTCACCCCCTAGGGTCCCTCCAGATGGAAATTTTTACAATTTTACTTTGTATTCCTTCATTAGAACCCATTATCAACCTCTGCGCCAAATTTCAGCTTTCTACGGCAATTTTGAAATTTTGATGCATAATACCCCTATAATCCACCTATATGACCCCCACCGGCAATTTAATAATTTTAATTTTGGGAAATTTGATAATTTTTTGCTGGCGGCTGGCTGCCAGATTGCTGGCGGCTGGATGCTGACGGCTAAATTGACGGTTGGGCGGCTGGCTTCTATCTTGAGTTCGGCTGGCGGCGGCTGGCGGCTAATAACTGCACGTTGGGACGGGTGTCTCCCACCGTCAGAGGCAACATTATTTTAAGTTAGAGCATGACCAACTGTATACTGGATCGTAGAGCAAGTAAGTTCAGTTGGTCGCATCAACTAATTCAAAACTACAAATACGTATTTGGATAAGAACGGTAAGCCATCTTATTTACAATTGTTTGTCTCATTTGTTCAGTCTTTAGATGTTGCGTGACCATAATATTAAGTAAATATTATGTATTAATATGTCCAAATTGTTACCTGTTCACAAATTTACGATTTTAGTAATTATGAATTACATTACCATTTATAGCATAACAGTTAAACTTGGACTACAAATTTCAACCAACCACGACCAGTGCTCAGGATGGATTTGACTTAAAATTCACCTCCGCTATCCTCGAATTCTGCACAGCTAGGTAAATATTTTAGTTTACTAAATAATTCATAGCAAATTGTTCAATACTTTGTGCAAGGGTCTTAAATAATTAAAGTACATCCATTCCAGGCAGGGTCGAGACGACTGAAAATATCGCCATGTCGACCGCCTTACTGAATCCGATCGTGCGTTTTTAAATTAAATTTTATCTTGACCATTTAATTCATGTCGAATTTAAATATACATAAATATCTATCAGGTTCTCAACGCTATTTTCGCCCATCTCCCCCTCCCCGACGTGAAAACGGCTCGATTCGTATGCCGAGATTGGAGCGACGTTGGTGCGACTCACTTAGGAAAAAGGTCATCCCTCGACGTCACCCCGCTTTTCTGTCACCACACCGCAGATCTACACCTCATCACCCCCGTCCACCCAAAACTCCTGCGGAACATCGTCATCTCGAACAAATTCGACGCGTCTATCCCTTCCTCGAAGAAAACTGCCGTCATCTCCAAAGTTTTCACTATTTTGTCTGAATCCACTCGCCAAATTGAATTTTTTCCGGGGAGAAGAAATTTATCCCTGCCTTTCTCGAAGGGATGAAGAGGATGAAATCCAGAAAAATCAAAACAATTAAAATCTCCATGCGGGAAAGATATTTGCGGGAACGTGTCGATGAAGCTGGAATTCGGGTCAAAATCCCTCTTCAAACTAATTTGACCTCACTGGTTTTCCAAGTTGGTCGCCACGTTTGGCACGCGCCCGGTGGCGCGTGCGAGAGAGCGAGTTACTCCCCGCGCTTCAAGGTTTGATCGATTCTGCACCGAATTTGACCTGTTTGGATGTCGAAACCCCTTTCTACCCGGATTTGGAGGGGTGCAAAAATCTAAAAGTTTTGAAATTCCACTTCGTAAAATGTGATCATCATACTATCTCGGATTGTCCTGATTTAAATTTGGGATCGGTGATGAAGATGCTGACACAGGTGAAGGATTCTTTGATTGAATTGGTCTTGTTTTCTGAGGGGCTGACTGCTTCCGTGTTTCAGGTAAGATTTTTACCGTAAAAATATAATTATCTATTTATGTACACGTGGAAATAACACGTGGTAAATAATTTGCATAATTACAGAGCAGCGACCGTACTGACATTCCCGTCTTATCAAAGCTCACCTTCGCCCGTATCGATCCTGTTATTCAGTACCAAATTCATGCCTTTTTTGATAAGGAGCACCTCCCAAAATTGAAAAAGTTCGAGTTCAACAGCATTACAAGCACGGCGGCGGAGTTGACAGGTTATCTAAACCTTTGGAAGCGACACGGAGGAGTTGAATCCCTTCTGATTACACCTGATATGCGTTTTATGATGGAGGACATCGATTTCGGACGAAAAATTGTGCATTTGTTCCCATCCGTCAACAAATTTCGATTCTTGATGCCAATCTTTGGAACCTTTAATCCCGAAAATGTGACAAGAATGATGGCACCTTTTCAAACATGCGAGCTAAAAGAAGCCCAAGTTATCGTGCTGTGTGTGGATACCGCTTGGTTAGTTCCAGTCCTTAAGGGTGTGTCGACTTGGAAAGGTACGCGGAATCAGAATTATTCAATTACATTAAATTAGCACAAAACATGTTGCTAAAAACGTTTTGTATAGGGTTGCCGCGGGTAACGGGTCGGGTACCCGTTACCCGCATACCCGCACGATTCTTGCGGGTACCCGTTATCTGCGGGTAGCGAGGACTACCCGCACGGGTAACGGGTAGTTTAGTTTTTATTTAATTTTCGACATAAATCAGCTCACAAAGAAAGTTAGCAGCAAGGTAGTACATTTGCCAACAAAAGCGCAAGTTTGTTACTTATCCATATTTCAAAATTTGCCATTTGCCAGCAACCAGGGTTTATAATGAGCGTGTCTTTTCGGAAGTCACAGAAGCCTACGGCAGCCTCAAATACTTTTCACGTCCCGAAAATGCGGAGAAATTATTATTTCTCAAGCACAGTTTGTCAGCTCTAACTATCAGTAATAATTTGACTTGTATTTGTGTGTAATTATGTCAGTCTGACGAGATTTTAATTTGTACTTTGAACAAGAAATACTTCAATCCGATTGAGAGCAAAAATTTTATTTATTGATAAAGAATTTTTTTAATGAAAACATCTTTTAAATTAAAATTTCAAAAAATCAAACTAAAAATTTAACCTTTTTTCAAGCAATATCAAGATTGTCTAGCGGGTATTTATACCAAAAAGTCAAGCCCAAAATTAGGAATCTCGTGATATTTATCTTTCCATTAAATTGCCACTTTGAAGAAAATATTGGGTGCAAAGTTTAATTTTTAGTAAATGTTCTGCATCTTTTTCCTCCACTGGACGAAAACCAGGGTGGACTTTGAACTTTGCCTCCAATAAATAGTTTCTTAAACATGTCATTCACCAGAAAGATGGGCTATAATTCCTAATTACTGGCTTGATTTTTTGACTTAATTCGCTATGAAATCCCAGTGTAAAAAAGTTCCATTGTAGGTCAGAGTTTGGTATCAGGAGCATCAAATTACACCTAGCAAATTATGGCATTGCTTAGTTGCACATCATTACATTTCTCAAACTACTGATCCACCTAAACAAGCAAATGACTGATTAAATAAAATTTATTCGGATGGTTGGTTAGTTTTTAACTCAATGCTCATAACGGGTAGCGGGTTACGGGTACCCGCACGGGTACCCGTGCGGGTACGGGTAGTTGGGCAGCGGGTAACGGGTCGGGTAACGGGTAGCATTTTCGCTACCCGCGGCAACCCTAGTTTTGTATATAGGGATAAATCGTGTCTGCTACGTGCACGTCCATATCGGCGGCAATTTTGCTCCCTGTGTGGAAGATATCATCGTACACAGTAAGGGATTGAGTAGCGTGGATATATTTGGGTTGAGGTACATATGCGGGATCAATTTGAATACATATATGGATTTTTTACGTTTTTTAAACTCATCTCCTCTATTTTCAGGACATGGAAGCTGTGGAAGGAAAGCGACCACTTTTGGCAGCCAGTAGTACGCCAATTCGTTTTACTCGAGAGGCGAAAGGACCGGCTTATTATTAATTCATAAGTAATTAATGGCAATGGCTGGAAATTCAAATTAGATCTTATATCGCCTTTTTAAAATTAAGCATTGATTGTAATTAGGCCTATATAGAATTAGTACGATGATATATATTTAAATGTATTTAAAAAGTGCAATCAAAGATTAAACATATTGATTACGATTCGTAAAAATTGCACAATTGCATAATTTAAGTAGGGTGACCATCCGTCCCGGTTTAGCCGGGACATGTCCCGCTTTTCATACCTTGTCCCGGCGTCCCGAAAATGTCCCGGTTTTTATAAAGTGTCCCGGTTTTTTAAATCATCGGGAAAAATTAAATTATTTCACTTTTTCGCCAACATATAGATGAAAAAGTACATTTTAGTACATAAATACTAGTACCATGCATGTAATATTTACTTAATTTCGTTTCCTGGCTCATTCTCAAAATTCGATATCTGAATCGCCAAGCACTAGATGTTATGGCAAATTCTTTCGCCAAGCACTAGATATTATGGCAATTTTTTTCGCCAAGCACTAGATATTATGGCAAATTTTTTCGCCAAGCACTAGATATTATGGCAAATTTTTTCGCCAAGCACTAGATATTATGGCAAATTTTTTCACCAAGCACTAGATATTATGGCAAATTTTGTCGCCAAGCACTAGATATTATGGCAAGAAGAAGTCTTAAATTATTTAAGACTTCTTGCTTCTAATGAATTACATATTTATCATTTTGTAATGAGAGCGCCTTATTTATAAAGAAATGATACAAATGAAATTGCGCCAACCATATGTGTACATATTTATTTATTGAAATTCAAATTAATCAAACCGACAGGTCATGAAAATTTTCTTGCTGCAAAGCCTTCATACTTCGGTGTCGTGTTTGGATTGAATCTGCATTTGGTGTATCCAAAATAAAATAAAGTTTCATTAGGGCCATCTACATATTACGTCATCAAAAATTGTCTATTCCCGTGCAGTTCATTCCCACTGTTTCCATTAGGGAGAGCCCAATGGGAAACAGTGTTGGGAAAATGGGAAGGATTCCCCATCACTTTTCTCAAATACGAACCCATTGATTCCCATTCGAAATTTTAGCAGAAAAATTCCACTTCGGCATATATGATATCGGTGAACAGTATCCAGTATGATAATATAATATATGAAAACCATCAAAATTCCCTTTGGATATCTTAAAATAAATCCCAGAACAAAAACAAAATACCGACTATTAAAAATTCAATGTATTTATTTATACAAGAATCCAATTAATAAATTTTATACTATTCTTAATTCTCCCCTACCAAGTTGAGATACTCCTCAACTCTCGTTTCTGAATCATCGGAATTCGAACAACTGAATTCCGGCGACATGATCGTAGAATTTCCAGCCAGACCTGTGAGACGATTCATCTTCTTTCTGGCATCCCCAGGAATATTGTGAAGCTTCTTTTCAAAAGTTAACCACTCAACAGTATTTGGCTTCAGGCCGAAAATTTCCGTTGTGTAATCTATAAAAAACAGTACATTTTCTTTTAGGTTTTTTCATGTTTTTTTTAACCATAAAGATCAATAATATGATGAATATCAAGCTCACCCTTTAATGCTTTAAATCGGATAGGGTCGATACATCTTCGAACGTTGTTCCGAATTCAAAATAGTTTTCGTCCTCCCAACATACGACATATGACGTGGGTCATGTCACCGCAGGTATATTTCAAACAATAGAAAATTGACCAGAGCGAGTAATTTAGGCTGACCAAAGAGAAACTAAAAAAGCATGACGAGGAGTGAATTCCAAATATGCCGCTCAGTATTTATCGGGGATGCTTGATATATTTCATGCCTTTTCGTCTAAATCCAATATGATTAATTCAGATGGGATATTGAGTTTTGTAATGCAAGTATGTTCCAATCAGATCCCGTTAACGTTAGCAATTCCATTGGGGACCTAGCAGTCATTTTCCTGTATAAAAATTTCCAATTGGATTTTTTACATGAAATGCATATATGCATCACATCTTATTGGAAATATACTGTAATCATAAGGGATCCGTAAGGATCCATCTACTGTTCAGATTCCCCAATGGATCCCAAGTCTCAGAAACGCACGGGTTTTATCAACCACCCACCCACCCAACGAATCTATGTATACATTAAGGGGTACGGAATTTTAACACGGGAAAGACCTACATACATAAACCACCCACCCGCTAAAATGATGACGTAATAGTTAAGCGTTCCCTAATAGATCTGATATGTCAAAATGGACATAGTATGTACCATCTTTCCACGCAGGATTGATTGAAGCTTTCCAGAAATTGAGAATTCTGAGAAATTACGCCACCCCACCACAAGTCTCAAAGTTAACGATTATGTACCATGATCTGAGGTAATTTAAGGCTGACAGTGGCGTAGTTTCTAAGAAGTCTCAATTTCAGGAAAACTTCAATCCTGCGTGGATGGAGAGTACTTTTTGCCAGTTCATATATTACGTCAGCAAAAAATTCGACCCCCTCCCCCCATTTAACATAGGCACGATATCATTGGTCCCTTAGACCCCTCCCCCCACCCCTATCTTGTCTACGTAATATATGAACGGGCCCTTACATATGTATATATGAACAAATTGAGAAATATTTTTACTTTAATGATCAATTTCCCTCGTTCCTTCTCTGCCTTGCTGTTTGCAGCATTCCTTAAACTTTTCGGAGGTGGCGTCGGTGGTCGTTTCGCAGAACGGCTGCCCCCAAAGGTGTAGCAGTAAAGGCCTACTTGATGGTCCTTAGGTACTTTTTAGTTTTGGCAAAATCATGTAATGGACCACACCCATTGGGGGCGTGGTTACTAAATTTTAATTATTCTATCGGGATCTCCTCATCGAGCTGAGAAAAATGATAGGTCGCAACCCATATTTAAGAAAATTCGAAAAATTGTCGAGGGCCACACCCACTGAGGGTGGGACACGTGACCACAACGAACATTGGTTAAGGTATCCAGGGAGTTCAAATATTTTTTCGACACCGAATAGAATTTTTCTGCTTTAGAATCCCATTGTAAGTATTAATTGTATTTTATACAATTTTTGAACTTGTGACCTGAATTTCGAGGGGGTGTGGTCGAATTTCAAAAATCTGGAAATATATATTTTGCCAATGGATCTAAGGTTTCCAAAAAAGTCTGAATTTTGAAAATCGGTCCACAATCTGTACAGTAATCCGAATTTAGTCAATGTTGTTAAGCATTGGCAAAAATAATCTCTCGGAAAAATGTCTCTAATTTTAATTCCTCCAACATAATTGCATGGCTTTCGTTCGTGATGGTAGGGAGCTATGTGCTGATACTAAGTTATCACTCTAATAGTGCATGGTGAATAAAATAGGGTGCTAACAGACTGGAAAATTTGAATTTTCCATAAAGGTCAAAGTTTAGGTCAAAGAGGTCACGTATCGACTTCTTATTCAAATTGTTGTTAGACAATTTTATGCGGATAATAAAAATCGAAACCGCATGTCAATCCGACCTTTGGTTGGCTCACAACGCAGGGATATGTGTAACCATCCCAAAAGGCCCTTTTTGGTCCTGCAGACGTGCCCTTGATATGTGGATTTTTTTAAGACGCATTTTTTGCATTAAAATACCCTAGTACACTTCCTGAAATCAAAAATTATCAAATTAAAAATACAAACGTTTGGAGGGGGCGATAGCAGAAAAAAATACTCAGAAAATAATAATTATTTAAATATTTCTTTTTTGAAGAGGTTCACTACTGTATTATGCAAATTTATATGTGGTTATGTAGAATTTTGTATCGTATTACCATGGATACGAATGCATGTACGTATATTCTAACATACACAGATATATACACAAAATATGTATTTCTTAGAACAAAAAGTATGCATAAGACGGATACTTCTTTAACTCTGGGTGACGGTCAGATTAATAATTAAATTTACATGTGAAAAAAATTCAACTGTGGAATTACCCCTACATGTTTTTCAAATTGGTCCCTCCATCTACTTGAAGCAGGACAACATATTTGCATTTTACTTTAAACCACCTTCTAATGGCAAGTACTCCATGCCAGGCGCTATTATATATTTTAATTTCCAGTGCTAAAATTTCACCAACTGATATCAATAGTGTTATCAAGTATATATAAAATATGGCTTGAATATTCCCAGCTAATGAAATTCTCTTAACAGGTTCTGTTGACCTATGCTTCATAAAAGTTTGTACCTTCCTTGTAATATTTGACCTTCGCGGGGTCTCCATATGGGGCCAGTCCTCCAGAAGCTGGATGATCCCTGCGACATACAATTTTTCAAATATTCGTAGCGCAACAGAATGCATTTCGACGATAAATTTCCACCCCGACTCTGATGTAAGGATTGACTCTACCGATTTAAAAAATTTAATCCATGGATAGTGTTTCTCAAAGTAACGGAGTTCGTTAACGATTTCCCTTTCGTCTAATACTAACGCTGTTCGTCCACATTGAACAAGAGCATGCTCAATATCCCACTCATTTTTGATGTACATCGTGTCCGTAAAATTCCCAAGGAAAGGGTGTGGTATGTGCCAAGGATCAATTAAGTCCCGTAGTTGTAGAATGTCAATGTAATCCGAAGGAATCGTTATATTTCGGAACTTAAACTTTTCTAAGACTATGTCCCTAATGATATATAATCGAGTTTCCAGCCCGTCGTAAAAATTATTTCTGGTTGCGTATTTTCTACTAGATATGTTCACCTCTAATGAATAAGGTAGCAATACAAAATCTTGATTTACATCGAATCGTCGCATAGATGTATTCCGCAGTGCTTCTGTAGCCTGACTTATGTTGAAAACTAAAAATGGATTAATGTTTGGAGAGGTGTAAACGAGCCTACCCCACGCCGCAAACAAGTAACGGTTTAAAACCTGCGTATATTTATGAAAGACTTTAATTCTACTAATGTGACATTCAACGTTGCCCCGTATACACCCAGGTTTGGCCAGTTCTTTAAAACTTGTCACGGATTTTGATTCTAACGGGGACGATATAGAGGTTATGCTTAGGCCGAGATACGCATTTGATAGAATTGGAACGAGCAGGATCCAAAATCCGAGTAAGATCTTGTATTCGGAAATTCGTTTTATTTTCCTCGCTACATCTGTCGGTTTGTCGAGAACTGTAGATACCACGACAAGTTGAGCAAACGATATCGCTTCGAAGAGGTCCCACTGGAACTTGTGTAGCAAAATAAAAACAAAAACACCACCAATCGTGACCATGCTTAACAACAGAGTAACCCACACTTCAACTTCGAACGGCTTCAGGAACACTTGAAATGACAACTCTTCCCTGGAAAAACAAGTCATGAAGGAAAATCCTTGATGAACAGTTCCGAAGTATACTATTGGTGGACGTGGTGTCATCTCCCTAAAATTGTCCATGTAGATCTGTTCGATATACGTAGATTTCTCATGGCCTCGCCTTTGTCGATATTTGAAGAGGCTTTCGTTATCGTCGTCGGCCTCCCCATACGTGAAATTTCCGATGCAGACTAGGCTAAAAAATAGAGTTACACGTGGGTGATATCGCTCAACTCTAATCAGATGGAATGGACCTTTATCATACTCTCTGCAGCATGCTTTCAGGCCGTAATATCCATTTAAGTGAAGCGGAGTTCTCATACTGATCAAATAAAGGTCAGTTGGAGGTTCGAGCAACAAGTGAAAGTGGAATTGGTTATTTATGATGTTCAAAACGTATTGTCGTGAAACTAGAGCTATTTTGTAATTAAGTAGTGAAACTAGGGAAACTCGATACCACTCTTCGTGCCCTTGCATCAGAATTAAATTCAGACAAAATTTGAATACGGCGGTACGAATATAACCTTCATGCATGATACGACTAAAGTTCAACTGGACACGAATGAGGAGTGAGATGTGGAGATTGGACTTTTGCTTCGTGAACTCAATAATAGGATAGTTTGAGTACATTATGTGATGCAAAATATTCGTTTGGTGTTTGGTTATGCTGGAAAATTCTATATCTGAAAGTTTTTTTAGTTTCCTTGTGAAGTCGGATTTTTGCGTGATGATTACACCGATGAAACAGTAAGCACGGGAGAACTGGGCTTTCTGCGAAATTGCGTAGATCCCACGAGTATTCTGGTCCACGCGGATTGCCGCACCCCTAAATTTTGTCCAGGTCGATGTGTTGATTTGCGGGAGGTGATAAAGGTAAAGTCCATTTTTGGGTGGGACCAGGGTAGAAAGTATGTCAGAATTTTGCAAATTGTTGTGATGAGCGAGAATTAAGTGGCAGTCTGGGTCTAGATGCCGAAATAAAGATTCGGTCAGGTTTACGGTAGAATAATTAGAATATGTGACAAAGACTCTTAAGGTAAAAAATAAGTAAAAGATACTGATATACGGAAACGATGACATTGTAGCAACGGTCAGATATGAGAGTCAGATTCTGAACTACTTTTTAATATTTCAACGCTAGCGGATAAACTTATAGCACTAAAGGTATATGTATAAGACCGTATGAACGTCTTGTTAGGTTCGTAAAAGTGTTCTTACGAAGTGATACATGAACATAACAAACATTTGATGAATTTTAGAACTAAAAACTATTAGGATATTAATATTTTTCTATTCTTCCAGCCTTAACAGTCGGTGCGAACACAATCCTTCCAAGGTTTGTAGCTAGCTTCAGCACACGAGGCATCACATGTCCTTGTGTTGATATACATACGTATGTACATACACTCTAAATAAGAGCACTTAAAATTCACTCAAGGTTGTTCAAAAAATGGATGAAAAGGTAAAATCCATCGAACGTTTTGTAAAATTTATCCATCCGTTGGACGAATTTTACACATCTTCGGATGAATTGTGCGCAACGGATGAACAATTTTTACTGTTTAGTTGTGTTATCCTCTTAACACGTATATTTTACTTGCGTATATTTTTATATGCGTATATTTTACTTATTTTTATTTAAAGTGTAAAAGAAAGACATGTTCACAAATTTATGTAGCTCGGTTGGTTATGTATCGTGGCTAAAACCACTTTGCTAATTGACAATAACACTTTAACGTTATGGAATGTTTGAACTATACACGAATGAGTGGTCTAGTAGGTATCTCGACAGAGAGTGTGTACATATATGTAATTACACAAATTTACACTGAAACTAGGAAGTTCATGCGTTAAATATCCGTTGTTTATGCTAATCATCCCTACAGAACTTAATTTACGGTATGTTGACAATTTGTAGAATTAAATTTATATTTTTTAAATTGGTGTACAGAGCCTGACCACACAAGTTTTTTCCCAGAACATAGACCGAGCCAGCAATTGCTAATTTTTGAGGGTCATGCATGCAATCATTTTGAAAAATTGAAGGCATTTTTTTAAAATAAGTCAAGGGGAGAGAAACAAAAAGTATAAATTTAACTTTTTCGTTTTTAAAAATACATATCAAGTCTGAAAAAATGTTTTGAATTTTTGGGGATCAAAAAATTACTTTTAACAAAAAGTTCTCTTTTTGTGGAACTTTTTGAAATTGGTGTTAAAAATTATTTTAAGATAACTTCCTATTGCGAACCACAACAATTTCATACTTGTAAATAAATTGTAAGCTAAACAGGTTGATATTACATTCGTAGATGGAGGCATTTTTTATGTAGGGAATTGCAACAATGATTCCTGGGCAAACCTTAATTTCAGATTTTATCTATGTATGTAGATAACATTTTCAAGTGAAGAATGGCAAAAAATTGTCCTGGCAAAATTATCTAAATAAATCAATTCCTACCTAAAATAGAATGCCATGCATTTTGTCAATACCTCCATCAGTACATACATGTCTGTCACAAATTCTCGGGTAACAAAGAATTACGTAAATATATTTCCATACGAATGACAGATGCACAAACATATGTATGTATGTATACATCGTCCCTTCATAATATTCGTGCTACAACAAAGATACAATTCCAGGGATATCCTTTACTTACTGACAGGCCCCGATTTAGGGGCGGGCAACCCGGGAAGCTGCCCGGGGCGCCAAACCCTTGGGGGGCGCCGGCAGCCGCCCAGGTTTACACTAGATAATAATAATTGAAGTACAAGTACAAGTACTTGAAGAACAAGTCATGATTGGCGAAGTTATTAATTTTGGTTGGAATAATCCATATTTTTGTTGGATGGTATAAAATAAATCCAATTGAATTTTCCTGTTGTAAATTTTGAAAATCTTTTGCTTCGAGTTTTTATTTTGATCAAGTTTGGACAACTCATTTCGACAGTTCTGATGTGTTGATACATCACTGCAATTTTTATTTCTAAATTTTCAACCACACTCTAGAAATTGAGTTAAGTAAACCTACTCAAGGTTGACTAAAGTAGTGAACGACAAGATAATCGGGTAAGATTTATTCTATGTATGGTTGTGAAAAATTATCCAACTGTTAAATAAATGATTGATCAAATTTCATCCAATTATTGTGTTAACCTTTATTTTGCTCAACATGTAAATTCTCTAAAACTTAAATTCAAAATAATATGCCTGGCGAACATTTATATACAGGGATATTTGATCTAATTGATGTAGACGATTTTGTTTAAAAAAAAGTAGGACATTCTGATTTTGCCTAATCCTAGGAAAATTAGGAAAAAAGTTGCACATTTTAGCATGTATCTCGAAAATTTCCTAAGCGCGCCCCCAATATTAAGTACCTGTATTACGGAATATTGATCTGCTCAATATTACTTATTACACTAATAAGGCCTGGGTAGGAATATTTTGCGCAAATATTTGATTGAGAAAAAACCACATGCGAGCGCCGAAGGCGCGAGCGGCTTGGGGCGCCTAATTTCTTTGCCCATGTAAGATTTTGGGCTAGATCGGGGCCTGCTTACTGAGCCACTCTAAATCCCTCCTATAAGCTCACCACTCATGCAACAAACGTACATAAATATGTACTGCGATATATAAATGTATATATGTATCTATGTCAAAATATTTGTGTTTGTCGGTTAGAATATCAGTTACTGTCTAGCCTATTTTTACGAAATAACTGATCTAAAAACGTTGAACCTTTCACTTTACGCTTGTACAAAAATTTGCTCATTAATTGAAATTGTACATTGAAATTTTGATTAGAAATAAAACTTTTATACCAATTCCATCAAGAAAAATAAGCATTTGATAACTTGTGTGTTGTATTTAGCACTTATGTTCAGTTGATTATTTTTTGGCTGAATTATTTATCTAGTTTTCTGTCTTTAAAATTGTCGTTTCCGGACTAGTTTTTTATGTAACTCGGAGAAATTAATTCTACCCGGACATTTCGTAAGTAAATACGTTTGTTTATTTTAAAAGGCGAAATAATTTAGCAGTTGTGGTGTTTTCTGTATATGTGTATCAGAGGGTGGATATGTAAGTGTTTACGAAAAATGCATGAAATTTGTATGTATTTACTAGACCAACAATTGTCCCGTTATTCCGTCTTGCTTATCGTAAATGGTATCCTGTACGATTTTGTCAGGCTCTTCGTCACCATCGGGTTGTGCGCAACGTCACTAATGTACACCACCAGTTTGGCCACGGTGATCTATTTGGGGAACAAGCTTCCCTTAGTGTTCACCTTCATCTTGGTGGACGTCGCTCTGTTCGGGTGCTTCATGTTGGTCGTTTTCTTATGTTTCGCATCGAAATGTCATAAGGCTTCGGGTGACATTTTAACCAGGTTTGCGGCCTCGGTAGGCGAACTGGAGAGGACGAGTGTCAGAAGGAGCGTTAAAATGAGTCAGATTTGGGGGTTGAGGAGGACAACGGTTTCAATGGGGGTGAACGGTTACACAGTTTTTGTCATAACGGCCGAGAATTTGTTAATAATTATGAAAATTGTGATCGATATGTCGATCAATTTTGTGGTTTTGTATAAGTAAACGGGTATTCTGGAATTCTGTGCAATTTAGATACTAAATGTCACTATTTTAATATTTACAAACGACTACAACCAGTATGGCAAGGTAACTTGTATTTGAGGTGATTCGATCCATTATACCCGATGGTTCAGTAGAAATATAGGATCTCACAGTATTTTGATGACGAGAATAATTGCTGAATTTATGACAATAAATAAGAATTGTACTGAATCTAATTTTTTGGTGAAAGTGAAACTTTGGATTTATATTATTTTATAAAAAACTTAGACTTACATATGTACTTACATTTAGCTTGATGTTGTACTATATATAGTCGAGATGGTCAAGGTCCAATTAATTGTCAAGGTCCACAATTTAAATCTAAATTTGTATTAGGAAGTTGATGCTTGAAAAGTCAGGTTAAGGATGCAGGGTCCCCTAATTAAAGCAAATTTGCTTTATTGCATTTATGCAATACATTCTTAGAAATCCAGTATTAAAATAATACCACGCGGTATTCATATATGACTCTACCAGCGTGGTATTGATACATAATACCGTGTAGTAATAACCCGGTATTAAAGATTTCCAATATCGGTATCAAATTTTTACGGAGCGGTATAATTTTAATACCACGCGGTAGTAACTTTTATACCGAGAAATCAATACCTGCGTGACTATACCGGATTTTTAAGAGTGTATGCAAATATGTTTGTATCAATATGTGTACATCTGTGAAGTAAATTCGAATATGTAAATGTATATGTTTCATCACGTGAACAAAAGTATGGCAAGTTTTAAATGCCAATAGAAAGTGTGAATTTTCACACCGATTATAATCCAATCTACTCTTACCTAATATTTAGATTTCTACCACAAAATTCTAAATAATTTTTGACCTGCTCAGTGTACAACTCCAACCTAACCTCACTCCCAACTAAGGCGTCATCCGCATTCCGTGTACTCAACAATGGATTAATAATTTCCTTAAATCTCGTATAATTGCCCTTAAAGTCTTGCAATCGGGCTGAAAACCATTCCAAAGCTAAGAACGCGCCATACATATCAGTAGAATTCCCTTTTTTCGCGGGAAGTCCCCGGTCCCCCACAAGCTGGGCCAGGCTCTCCATCCACACCTTCAAGGGGACCCCGATTGCGCCAAACTTTTCCATCTCTGCGCTCATTCCTCCCTTCAGGTGTTTCCCAAGGTGATAAATCCTGCCCTCGTTACAGCTAGTCGAAATAAACGCTACGGCAGCCGCAACCCGATCCACCTCCGAGTAGGGCGGCCATTCCAGTTCCCTCGGGTATACCTTCATCCCCAGGCAGGCGCGATTGACGAGGTAGAAAATGTCTAGCGCGTTCATCTGTACCGCGTCATTAGTGCTGCTAATGCCCACACTTCCGAGCCGATAGATCGCGGCAGATAGAGCGGTTCGGCGTTGGACTTGGGACAGTAGTTTCTCCGCGACCCATTTGCTCTGGCTGTACCCATTCCCCGCCAGGGGGCCTGTCCAGGTCAACTCGGTTTCCAAGACCGGGTTAGCCTCGAGCACAGACAGGGTCGAGATGTAGTGGAGTACCCGATTTGAACCTCCGTCTAGGCAGAATTGGAGGATATTTCGCATTCCGAGGACATTACTGGGTTTCAAAGAGTGATAAGGTTTGTACTGGTGGGTCTCTGCACCACAGTGGTACACGAGCGTGACACTGGAAGACAGCATGGCGAAGGTTGACGTGTCCAATCCGAGGCAGGGTTGGGAAAAGTCTCCGGGGACGGGGATGATTTGAAGGTTCTCCGACTCCAAGGAAGAAATCGTTCCTAGGCCGAGTTCTAAGAGTTTTTGTTCCAGTCGGGAATAAACGGCGGGGAAGTTGTCACCGCGGATAAGGCAGTACAACTTGATGGGGTGGGTGGAGGTGGCGCGTTGGGCAAAGGTGGTGGACAATTCTTTCAGGAGAAACGGGGTGAAGTAGCCGGTCGCTCCGGTTAAGAGGATATCCTGACCCTGGAACAATTTGGAGGTTTTAATACTTTCCGCTTGTATTGTAAGGTATGTGTGGGTACAATAGAAGTTTAGCACGCATATTGAAATATCCTGTGGTTAGAAAGTTATTGATTCACCTGTCGATTAGGCAGAGGTGTTAGCAAATGCCAATTAATTAAATAGATTTTGATCATGATTCTACTGTCTACATATATACAAATATGTATGCATCGACAGAAACGGTATTTCTGCAATGTCATACATACATATGCGTTTGCAAAAATTCAGGGAATGTATTTCTTTCCAAGTACTGAATTATTGTACATAATTCCCACCTGTTCGACCTTGCCGATCTGCTGATTAGAGAATTCCAGACTTTCCATCATTTCATCAACTTCCTTCCTCAGGTCCAAAGCCCTACAATCGTTAATCGTCATCTTTGAAACGGATGTGCATAATTCTCTTAGCGAAACGGCGTCCAGAAATTGTGAGAACGTTATATTTAAATTCCATGGCGGCAGTTTTAACTCATTCAACAACATCATGGCTGACACCGAGTCTCCGCCAATTTCGTTGAATGACGTGCATGGATTTATCCGTTCGGGATTATTGATGTTCAAAACTTTTGCCCAAAGCTGAGCCATTTTTATTTCTATTTCAGCCATCCCCTGCTGACATTGACTTTGATTGGCTCTCAAGAACCTGATAAGCTCGTGCTTGTCAATTTTCCCACTCTTTGTTAGTGGAAACTCGGCAAGGTATTTAATACTACTAGGAACGGCAGACTTTGGGAGGTGTTTCCGCAAAAATTGGAAAATGGTCTTTTTCTCGGTCGTTTCTCCTTTGGACAGGATAAACGCCACCAGCCTCCCGTTGTAGGGGACGATGGTGCTTTGGAAAATTCCGGGAGATTTTGCTAGCACGTTGTCCACCTCCGCTACGGAAACTCGGCATCCTGGAAAGTCAAACAAATTAACATAAATTAACTGCAATGGTATTCAAATATTTACATAAGAATTCTAGGAAGCTAAAGATGAAAATACATAAGCCGGGAATAGCCAAATGCTCAGTATGAAAACCAGATTACAAAAGAGAACACATGCTTGGGGAAAAGAAATTACATATACCATTTTACTGCACATTCAGCTAAAAATAACTATGATATTTCGACAACTATTTATAATCTATCAATTAGTAATTAATTGACACAATCTGAATTTCTGTAAAAACTCACCAGAAATTTTAACAATATCACCCTCCCTCCCACACACTTCCAGGGTCCCATCCCCCCTCCAAAACCCCCGATCATGCGTCCTCAACATCCCTCTCCACCTTTCACTTGCCCCATCGTAATACTCACACACGCCAATGCCCCCTATAAAAACGTCCCCCTCCTCCAGGACGTCGCATTCCACTCCGTTTTCCCGCACTACGCAAACCTTCATGTTTTGAATGGGCCGCCCCACCGAGAGAGACATAACGTCGCCCGGCCTGTACTGGATGAACGTTTGACCAATCGTCCCCTCCGTGAGGCCGTAATGGTTTTCCACGCAAAACCCCAATTTTTCCGAGAGTTGCATCCCATCCACCTGCGCGACACGTTCCCCCGCAAACATTAAAATTTTCAAGGCACTCCTCCCCTCACCCCCCGTTAAGTTCCACCTGGTCAAGAAACGTACCCCCACGATGGCCGGAAGGCAGAGGAAAGTTATTTCATTGAGGCGGACAAATTCCTCCAGCGCCTCGATATCCCGTCTCAATTCACCCGGGAGGATGACCACCGTGCCCCCGGCGCAGAGGGGCGGGATCGTTTGAGTGAAAGCCATATCAAATCCGGGAGACGAGAAGAACAGCGACCTCTTCAGGACAGCCTCGCCGTAATGACGGAGATTCCAGTGGACGAAATTAACCAAGGAGTCGTCCCGCATGAGGACCCCCTTCGGGGTTCCGGTTGATCCCGAGGTATAAATGCATAACGAGATTGGATTGATTCTCCTCTTAATGTCTTGCTTTACCCTAATCGCTTCCGCGGTAAATTCAAAGCCTTCTGGTAAAATAATCAACGCTTTACAAGTGCCGGCTAGGTTAAGGCGCTGGGAAATGCAGGGATCCGTAATGACCAAAGGGTCGACATGGTTTTGAATTATCGTGTGTATTCTCGACTTGGGAAGGCTGGCGTCAACCGGGATGGGGGTCCGGTTAGCTGACCAAGTCGCTATTTCAGCCGCAATGAATTTGTACCCAGCGGGAAGTAGGATGATTACAAAGTCGGAGGAATTTCTGGATTCCAGGATTAAAGACGAGATTTTGCTCGATATTGCCAAAAGTGCGGTATAACTGACCCTTCGATGTCCTTCTTGCACAGCGGTCTTTCCACCAGAGTTGTGCCACTGCTCGGTAATCATTTCCAGGATGGATTTTGTTGTGATGGACACTTTTTCCCCTTGACCAAAGGCCATGCTGGGTCTCATCTTTGCGATCAAAGTTAGACCTTGGACCCGAAATAATTTCTGAAAAAAGTAATGAATTTCCGATCAGAAATGTTTAGTGTGTGCACTGTAAATATTCTGGTAATAAACATTACCGAAAAGCACAAGTATATGACTCTACCAAACTGGTAATGATAAGTTGTACCGTGTGGTGCTGGCTTGGTAATATCTTGCCATCGTGCTAACGAATTTTTACTACTTGGTAAAATATTATTACTAAATTTATTACCGAGAAATCATTACCTGCGTGAGTTTATCGGATTATTTAGAGTGTGTACGTGGGTAAGGACTGGATAAGTTGGTAGCCTAGCTCATGAATATGGATTTTACTTCAGCAGCAAGGCAGTCAATCAGTACTGGTCAGCCGCATGTGATGAGGTCGATTGTGATAAAGGAGACCGGTTTTACTCACATAACTGCCTATGTATGTACGTTCTTCCAAATCGCCAGATGGGCAGCCATTTGGTATCCAGCACATCTTTGTGGGTATCAGGAAATAAATCTCCAAGATAAAATCCCAGTTCACCTTGAATTCCTGGGCAGGAACGCAATTTAGTAACGAATATGTATGTAGTACCTATATTTTCCTATTGTCGTAAAACTTAAAAAATGGAATTGTGCAGGTATGCAAATTGTTATACGTATTTATTTGGTGGATCAACAAAGAGCATTTAATGATTATGCAAATCACGCGAGGTTAGTTATTGGTTAGACATAAACTGGTCCTTAATTGGTTATAGATTTATTACAGTGGGAACCACTTTATGAGTTGCAAGTTCGTTAAATTTATTACAGTGGAAACTACCGTCAAGTTCGTTACATTTATGGAGACACGTTTATTTCACGTGAAATTTACAACAATGGTGTAGAGTCATATACAGGGTGGTTTAAATGTCAGGCTATAATGGAAAATTTGCCAATGGGAAAACCCCCTAAATCTCCATTAGTTTGTACAAGAATTGGGATTTAGATTTTTATAATTATTATCAAGACGGATGGCAAAATTCTTAAAATGTTGAATTCTAGAGACAAAATTTCTGTGACTAATGGAAATTTGTGAATTTTTCCCATCGAAAAATTTTCCACTGAAGCGTGACATTTAAACCACCCTGTATATTCAATTGACTTCTATATATGTATGTAAAGTGTGTCCTAGAAGTTAAGCCGACGAAATATGTAATTTTTTCCGAATAGCGTAGTGCATTTCTGCCACCAAAAAATTGCTCTCTTATGAATGAAATCCTGTTTATAAATTTGGGCGTGAAATCAATGGAAATCCATGCCTTCTCAATTAATCTTTAACCACTTCATAATCAAAATGTTGTCCAGAAATGAACCCATTTGTTTCCAAAATTTGAACCAACTTCCCCACTGGCACCTCCGGTTTTAAAAGTTTGCCACTATTTTTCATATCCAGCAAAACTTGCCGGGTCGGCTGGTCGGTACAGCTGGCGATAGCGTCATCCATCATGCCCGTGTCACAGCTGCCCGGGTTAAAGCTCAGCGTCCTCACGGCCTCTCCCTCTTCCAACGCGATGCTCCTCATGAGCGAGTCTCTCGCCGCTTTGGCTGCGCAATACACGCCCCCTCGCGGGAACGGGGTGAGCTCGGTGGTCAGCTGGATCACGGTCGTGTGCTTGGCATACCTGTTCAAAAAATTAGTTTTCATTCAAAAGTCAGTCATCACTTTTTCTGACGGAATTAGAGTTTCATTCGAATTGAGCCATTTCCAAAGCTCAAATTCATTTCATTTCACTTCACTTCATCCGAATTCATTTCTTACTTCGCCACATGGATTAAGCATAGGGTGAAAAATGAAAGGACTTAGCAATCCTATTCACATTTGGAATGACGGATAATTTTCATTCCAATAAGACAAAATTCATTTTCACTCATTATCATAATCACTCAAATGAATGAAGGTGAGCAGGTATGGATTACCCTTGGAAGAATTTGACAAAGCTGGATGTTAGCAACAGCATGGATGTGACTTCCAAATTGAAAAAGTATTGGATCTCGGAGAAATTCGTGTATTGCACGGTCCTGTTGGTGCAATCACCCGTCGTCCCGGCACAGTGGACGAGGACACATTGGTCAAACGTGGACGTGGCATCTCCGACCGCTTTCTGTAGAGTTGCTTCAAATTTGGGGATGTCCGGGTTCATTAAATCCATCCCCAACCCGAGGACTTTGCAGTTTGGGTTGACTCTTAGGATTTCACCTTTCGTGTCATCCGTGGCTGGAAGCGTGCGAGCCAAAAGGATGAGGGTGGAACCTGAAGGGGTAATTTGAAGAGGGGTTGGTAATTTTAATTGAACACGTCACCAATCTGACGCCCTAGGCGAAAAGATAATGGCGCCGGAACGTGGTCTTATATATATTTGGAGCTCGAAATTTTTAGCCTTTCTTATTATACAGGGTGGTTATAAAATGTCACGCTACAATGGGCAAATTTTCGATGGGAAAAATTCGTAAATTTTCCTTAGTTACTGAAATTTTGTCTATAAAATTCAAAATTTTAAGAATTTTGTCATCAGTGTTCCATCAGTTTTAATAATTTTATGAAAATCTCAACCAAAAATCTTGTAACTAATGGAGATTTAGGATTTTGTGCATGCATATAATCCCAAACAAATTAGCCTTTTGCACTAATTGCATTTGACGAAATCAGAACTTTTGGAATAAATTGAATTATATATTTGTAATCTAGGTATCAAAAAAATTGAATACTTTTTAAATACCAATGCCTAAAATGGGACAGTTTCCCCGGTATTGGTTTCGAATTATTTTCTTCCTTATTTAATACCTCCTTGGAAAATTGGACTATTTGTGGCTAATAGCGGGAAGAAGTGAATTTTTAATGGAATCAGTAAAGCTAATTATTTGTTAATTTATTTGAATGAAAAAAAACCTTTGTTCAAATTTCTGCAACGATGTTACATAAATTGTGGCGAAAAATAGGTTTATGTAATAAGATTTTTTTCACAATCTAACTCGTTTCTCCCAAGTGGGGTAAAATTTAGCCACTAAATTGGTGTATGTATACAAATAAATCAATGTAGGACACTTTTACCTGGGGAAATCCGTTTGCTAAATTCAGCCGCGATTGACCTCCCAAGCCCTCGACTACCCCCGGTTACGACACAGAAGGTTTTACTTCCCCAAAACTCGCTCATTCTGTTCAAGCATGAGAAGAAGAATGAGAAAAGAGTTGCATAAATAAGTCCTTACATAAGTAAAATGCAAATAAATTTGCAATTGAGTTGAGTCATTCATTTGTAAAGGCGATGTTGGAATAATTTGCTTTGCACTGACGAGACAGATTTCTTACAAGGCACATGTAACATTCGGACTTCCTTATGGCCAGGTTTATTTTATTCATAACAGAAAATATAGTACCTGATTTAAAAAAAATTCATAATGACTTTATGAGTATGAAATTTTTCATGAGAAAATGTATGTATATAGGAATGGTTGATTTTGCGGTGGTAGATTTCTGCAAATAATTAGGGTGGGAACGAGAAGGTTAAAGTTATAAGAACATGTGCATATTTATGTATCTGGAGATATCACAAACATATTTTATGCCTGCAATATGCTTTATGTTATGTATTTAGAGGCAAGTTGAGATTTGTAATTTCATAACTTATCTACTTATATGGAAACAGATTTATTTTGCAATCTCATCTGAGGTAAGGTGAGAATTCCGGTGCACTTTTGTACATACCTAACAGGTTTTGATTTAGCAAAGTATTTTTGGACCCTCTCTTTACTCTGGACAGTGACCGCGGAAGGTAGGACAGCAAAACACATGACTAAAATCTCCGGATATTTTTAGTTTTTCGAGGGTTCTGTCCATCTCAATCAATGTACGTACGTACGTGCATATTTACATACTTCTTTCTCATTATGATTGCTGCATCGAGACCATACATGGTGTACATGAAATTTCTGAGCACCTATAAAAATTTTGGTTTTATATCTGCACCTGCTTGTTCTATGTATTTTTATGACTTCAAGGTGGTTTTTACCGCACGTGGGGAAATTTGGGGGACATTATCAGCTCGGATAACGCTAAATTTCGGCAACTTTTAGTACGAATTTTTTCCTTGTGCTCAGAAATTCTATGTACATATTTTGAATTGCATAACGTATGTGTGCTGTGGAGACTGCCAGTGGCTGAATGCATACGAGTACAACCTAACCATGCACAAGTGGATATTTGAGATTAATTTTTATTAATAAATAGGTTCATCACAATATTAAATATGCAGCTATGTAGTTACGTACACACGTGTTTCTAAACCTATGTATGTAAATAAGTTGTTGATATTGAACTGGTTTGCATATTTTTTTAAGAAGAACCGAGAAGCTGGGATGCACGTAAACGTAATTATTCGACCTTCCAAAAGTTGGAAGGTCGAATAATTACGTTTGTAAGGATTGATTAAGCTGACTTTATATCTCTTGAAGATGAATTTTCCTTCTAATTACGCAGCAACACTGTCAATCAGCAAATGTCACACACTTGTGAAGGTCGTCTTCGAGGTAGGAAACCAGTTTTGACAGAGTATGCACATACGTGATTCCAAATCGATACATTCGATATTTCTTTGTTTTAATTGCATATGTACGTACGTGAGGGTAGGTACTCATTTGATGTCACATTCTTTTGGCGATGAACTGAAATACTTCTACTATACATAATTACTTTAACCATTAGAAGGGAATAGTAGTTAAGTATGTAAATCGTGCCATATAAGTTGGATGGCTTGCTTCCTGGTGTGCTGTGAATTGGCAAAGCTCAGAAAAAAAATCACGAAACATAGGTTGCGATAAATTGATGTTAAAATTGACCAACTGTAGTGAGTAATTGACTTGATAAATATGTAGGCACATCTGTACGTCGGCAAAAAAGTGGCATGTACATACATACATATGTACCTTGTCAAGATTCTTTTCTGCCGGACATGAGATACTATGTACTCAACTTTCTACGTAGAGTATGCACATATGTATGTATGTATGTACATATATGCACACTCTTAGAAAATTGGTATTAAATCATTACCGACGGGAGTACGCGTGTGACTCTACCGGGTTAACGGGAATTACCATCCAGTAATGTTGTGGTAATGGCAAATTTACCATTCAGGAAGAAAATTTACTACTAATCCAGTAGAAAGTTCTTACCAAATCAACGCGACTTGTTACCACATTATTCTGCGTGTACTCACACTCTTAATACTTGAGGTCTCATCATTATAACACACTGTGCTTGCAGGACTGTAAATACGTGGAGGAACTACTTGGACTAGAGTGCTTAGTGTACATACATATATGAGAAATAATTTATTATTCGAATATCCACCCAAATTCAGACAATTATTACCAAGAACTTTAAACATTACATAAATCAGAGTCAATTTAGTTTCACAAATTTAAATAAAAACAATTCTCCCATGTCTATAAAAATGTGGTCAGGGTTCCTACTGGGGATGGAATTATTTATTTCCACCTTGCTAAATATTTTCCTAGTGCTGCCCGTCTTCACGCTAATATTTGGCGTGAATTCCATCCGAAGATGGATATTTGGTTTAAGGTTGAAATGGAGGTTTGGAAATAAGGCAAAACTCGCGGTTGGGGTTGAGTGCACGTGGCGGCCTTGTCAAATAGTTCGGGGCCTGGGTGTCTTTGACAGGACGGGATTTGACTGGGGGTCATTTAAGCCACGATTCATTGAGGAAATAGGGAACAATGAAAAATACAAGAGCCTCTGTTGGAGGTTGAATATGGTAAGTGTCATTATCTAGGAGTCATCCATATATTACATAAGTCATCAAGAATTCTGGATTTTACATATTTACCATCCACCGTGTACATTAATAGAGGGGGGATTTTAACATGGGAAGGATAGGAAGACCTAACCCTAAGACCTAACCCTCCCAGAAATAAAATGATGACGTAATATGTGGACGTTTCCTTAGGCTATTAATCATTAAGGGGGTGTACGTAATACTAAAAATATGCATTTAGTATTTGTGGACTATGTAGAAAGGAATTAGCGACTTTTTGCCGGGACGCGGACGTAATTCAATCCAAGGTATTACTCCCGCCACGACTGAGGGCGGGGAGTATGTACAAATGAATAAGAAAAAATAGGAAAAAATAAAGTTTTCTTGCTTTCTAAGTTGCTTACATTAGTAGAAATAAAATCACTATTAATAGTACTATGACCTTCTAATCAATTAGTAGATTAAATGTTTGAGCTAATTGTTAATTAAATACATATTAACCTTAGCTAGTGCCAACTTGCCAACAAAGCTATATAACTGTAATTACTAATTACTAACAACGATATTAAAAATCCCAGGGCGCATAAACTTTTTGTTGTCCGTGGTTTCTCCTAAGGGGGTGATGCAGGGATGAGCATTTTTTCAAAAAAATTAAAAAAATTAAAAGTTCGGGAATTGCATGCAATTTTTCCATGAATTTGGTTGGTTACCATGGCAAAATTGCATGCAATTCCCGAACTTTTAATTTTTTAATTATCTTGAAAAAATGCTCATCCCTGCATCACCCCCTTAGGAGAAACCACGGACAACAAAAAGTTTATGCGCCCTGTAAAAATCCCTAATCAAGTGCGAATTTGTTAATTAAATAATTAGCTATATACTTACATAATTATGACTTAATTGTCTTAGACTTACTTCCGTCTGACTACCAATTATTTACTTAGACAAAATATTTACTTTCTAATTACCAATTACTAATTAGTTAAAAACTTGGCAAATTATTAACCCCGGAGTAGTAAATACGCACATTTGTTGGCCTACATTAAATTAATAAAGAATTGTTGAACTCAACATTTCAGGATGATGGTCCGTACAAATATTGGCAATTCTGTGACAATTATGACCCTCTCGATCACTTCCGAGTTGTAAAGGGCAGCCGTACGGAGGATGGGTTCATGGCTCAAATCTTAGAATTCGGGACAAGGTTTCCCGCCGAAAAGCCGCAGTGGGAAATAATACTTCTGGAGGAACTTCCCAACCCGCACCAAGTTGGGGTTGTCTTCCGATTCCACCACAGTTATGGGGATGGACTCTCCTTCATTGGGGCCCTGCTGGGGATGACAAAAGAGGATGAGTTTCCCCTCGTTGCCTCCCCCTTTGTGGATCACCTTTCTGGGTGGGGAAGATTCAAGTTGAATGCATTCGGGTGAGCGTCTTTAGACGTTCTGAAAGCAGCAAACTGAATTTAAAAGGCTAAATAAAATTATTGGTCTGATGGTCTCAAATAATAAAAAAATGTTTGTTTGCAATACAGCTGTGCAATGTTTGGGCTCACCCTGGTTCGCGAAATGTTTTTTGTACCACCACCTTGCCCAAGATATCGACACGAGGACGGCGGGGAAGGCTATTCCACGCTCCGATTCAACATCCCCCTTTCAAAGCTGCGAACAATAACCAAACGTACGGAACAGCCGATAACGATTTCCTCAATTATGATGACATCTATTGCTGCTGCAGTGGCAAGGCTACCCACAACTCAGGCTGAGCCCTTCTACCTTAAGGGGGCACTTGTGGTTACTAATCCACCTTACCCGAGAGGTTAGACGACTATTCATAAGTTTCCCTGGTCAATGTTAATACGAAGTGGGATTTTTCCAATATGAGAGTAACTACTGTAAAAAACGGACTTTTGCACTAGAAATATGTTCAATAATTATGTATAATCACTATTTGCCAGTTTCTTACAGCTGCTTTCAAGCGGTTTTAAAGGAACGGCATCACCTATAGTGAGAAAATTTCGAGCATTTACCCTGAAACTTAGATTTTGAGATTCCATTCTTTCCTTGCTCCACTTAGGTACTTAGTCTCACCCGTTTAAACCGGCTTTTGGGAAAAACTAGTTAAGTAATAGCGATTCTAAAGGGGCAAGTTGGTTTTTCGTGCGGGTCGATTGTTTGCCGTATTATTTCCTCGCGGAAAATCCCGCCTCTAACCCTGGCCAAATCTTAAAAGTTTGTGACCACACAAACCAACTGTGTGGAGCTATATATATAAAGATCTACCTTGATATGAAATTAACATCCTTGTTCCAGGTAAACTGTGCCACAGGTTCTCCACACTTCTCGTCTCACTTCCCCAGGACGCTCACAACGTGACGGAGAAAACGCTTGTGGAGATTTCGAAATCATGTCGGTCTTCCTTCAATCCGACCGCCTTTTTTACCCGTTTTCTTGGTGACTATCTTATAGGGAGTCTTCCAACCAAAATCTGTGAAAACAATCCGGTAACGAACTACTTGGTCTTATCAAATATTCCGTTCTTGAAAAAACGAAACGTGAAGTTTGCCGGATCCACGTTGCTGGACTGTGCTGCATTTTTTCACGTTCCCAACGGTAAGTTGCAAACTGTAGTGCAAAAAATACTACACATATATAGCGACATTTTTCATGGTTACCAGTGTTCAACGATTCGTTGATTTTTCCTTCCAACTTAAAACCAGGGAATAGAGAGTTTAAGCAAGACTGCATGATTGCACTTTTCGATTGTAAACACACAAGAAAAATCTAGTTTTAGTACAAGAGAAATGCAAATGCAAAGAGCATTGTACTTAAAAATTTGCCCAGAATACAAGAATTGCAAATCTTCCGCCAGAAATGAATGACACTTCGAATCTTCCCGCATGGTATTCTTGCTCTACTTCAAAAAGATATAATCATAGATTGTGATTCTAAGCAAGAATGATTTCTTTACAATTACGTACTCCCACTAAACTTCTCTAATATCACCTTAAAAAATTAAATTTAACAATTTAACAATTATGTAATACCTTTTTAAACCACCCTATACTATCGGACAACTAAATGTCTTTTTAAAAAAATCTTGTTTGTTGCAGCCCTTTACGTCAGCATGATCAGCATGGAAGATAATATTACCGTAACCATGACAGCAGCCAGGACGATGTTAAACCGAGAGGAATTGGATGCAGTGGCGGTCATGTTAGTACAACAAATCGACTCCTTGACTTCCATGAAGTCAAGACTTCCACTTCGAAAGGATTTCGAAGTGTAGTTAGTCTACCAACTTTGGGAATGTATATAGCTTTTAGCCACCTCGGTCATAGATGCACCACTTCCGCTTCCCATTAATAATCCTCCGCTTCCGGTAGTCGGAAGCTACATATACTGAGGGTAGTCGACATCCGTGAAAACGTTTTTGACCTGTAATATCTTTGGCGCTAGTAGAAATTTTGAATTGAAATTTTTACAATTTGTTCATCTTATAGTCAGCATTATGGGTGCAAAATTTCAATTCGCTAGTCCTAATGGCGCCAGAGATATATGCATACGAAAAAATAGTGCTGTTCTAAAACTGCCCAAACCTGCATAAATTTTACGTTTCAGAATATTTTTAAAACCTTCTAGAATTGTGAATTGTTTATGGAATTTTATGTGGGTGGTATGAAAATTTTTGGCATCTACGTGGCTTTCATAAATAACTCAAAATTTCCCAATATTTTAAAAATTCATTTCATACCAAGTGGATTTGCACAAAAAAATCGTGAATAAAGTTTTTTTTAGTTAAATGGAATTTTATAAATCACAATAGTTGAAATGTTTTTATGTTTATTATTTTGGAAGTTAGAGGAGACATTACTGATGGTAATGCAAACAGATTTTGGACTACAAATGTTTAATTTCGTGTAATGGAGGTACTTGGGAAAAATTAGCGAAATTTTGACAAATTGGGGGCTGTTATAACTTTTACTCTGAAACTCAACCCAGCTATTTTTTATCAAAATTTAAACTGCATTGTGTACTACTGACATGGGCTCACACAATTTGCTATTTCCTGGCATTTCTAGCCTATCAGCAACTGCTCCATGTCTTTTAACCGGGTAATTTATGTCTGAAACAAAAAAAACATCGTTGTTTTACTGTGGGGTTAGTTGAAGGTCTGCTTTTTACACTAGAGAATTGAAATTTTGCACCCATAATGCTGACTGTAAGGTTAACAAATTGTAAAAATTTCAATTAAAAATTTCTACTAGCGCCAAAGATATTAAAGGTCAAAAACGTTTTCACGGATGTGGACTACCCTCAGTATTTACACACCTATGACCCTGGTCTGGTTAATAACTCTTTAATTAAGCACTCAATGACAAATTACGTTTTGGAGATACGGAATATTTTATGAAGATTTAATTAGTCCTGAATATTTAGATTAGGAAGCATGGTTGCGTTGGTCAATTACGGGATGCAAGAAGTAATAGGCAACTTTACGGAGTGTTTATGTAATCGTTGGCATGATTTCGTTTTTTTATTTGACAATAAATATATGTAAGTTAAAAAACAAATGAATGTAGTTTAAATGTCAAACTTTGAAATTTTAATTTTATTGCATGATAATGTGTTGTTTGGTACACCCCATGCGATCGAGTGACTTTGCTGAAGACCGATCGGGGTTGAAGCGTGCAAATGTAAGTACTTTACAAAATCACTTAAGGGGAGAGAAACAAGTGCCAGTAGGAGAAAGAAAAAGTGAATAACTTTTTCACCCCGAAAATACAAAAAGTGCACAAAAATGTGTTCTTTGCGGGTAAAAACTTATTTAATTTTACGCGGTAAAACGCATTGGACGGCATTCCCCATAATTACATATTTACATTTTTGATGTGAAGGTCAAAATTTTGAACAAAATTGTGAAAATTAGTGGCTATTTTAAAATTAGTCACAATTTTGTTCAAAACTTTAGGACGGGCTTATAGGCTAGTAAATAAATTATTTTTTATTTTTTTGCTGTCAAGAAATATTTATGTTTTATTATGAATTATGAGAGCAAATTTTACGCACATTTTAAAAATCATGATGGATTAATGGTAAGTTTTACGACACTTATTCAAATTTGCAAACGGTTTACGAAATTAACAAAGCGTTGCCTCATTTTCTTAGATCGGGAATTGCGTCGGGGAAGTAATTTGATATAAATGTAGGTTGTTTTAAGAAATAGGGAACATTGATGTAGTACTCGCCACGTGTCCTGTATTAAAAAATAATATAAATTGACTTAATCATGGCTTTGTCAGTGGCATTTAATATGTATGTCACACATGTGTATCAACATAAGGGAACGTCCATAATCATGTCACGTAAAAATGGCGATTTTGCTGAAAATACATATATGCATTTATACATCTAAATACTTACGTGTGGGGTGTGTATATTCCTGCAAAGACAGGGTTGGGGCATTGTGCTACACATCTTTCAAAATTCCTGGGGTCCAGCTGCCTCTGGGAACATTGGCAAGCAACGTATGCGTTATCTAACGAGTCGGCAAATAGATTTTGAGCAGTGTCATGACTGCAGAATAAAAAATCTGACGCTGGATTACAACCCGGTTGAGAGTGGCCGTTGTTTACTGTGAAAATTTGTCAAAAATGTTTCTTCTACCCTCTTAAAAAAATAAGGCTACCCTTTATCGAAAAGTGAATACAATTGAGTTCTAAATGAGGTTGGAGACTGTACATAAGGCATGTGAACGATTTTCGGGAAATCCCCCGCCCCCCCCCCTCTGTGTGACGTATCTGCTCTGCCCCGGGAACGATACGTCTTGGCCCTTACCCCGCCCCCAAATCGATCATATGTATGCTTTCTGCGCAGTCTAAACTATACTAAATCCAGAGCAGCGTTGACTGATAAAGGATAAAGTTTACGCTAGATTTAGTATATGTACAGAGTTTACTTAACTTAAAACTCACAATGGAACCCTTTCCCAAGTTACACCCGGATTTTTTTAGCGAATCATGACAAAAATAAGCCAAAAATTAGGAATCAGATGACACTTTTCTTTACGTTGAATAACCCGAAATACTGGCGGCAAGGTTCAGTTTTTGAATTAATTTCTGTGCAGAATTAATTCATAGTTAATTAATTTCTAGTTAATTAGTTTAGTTAATTAATTTGTAGTTAATTTCGCTTTTTCGTCCCCGGGTCGAAAAACAAGGAGGGTGCGTGACTTTGCCCCCTAATATTTTTCCTCAAAGGTGCCATTCATCGGAAATATGAGTGTCATGTGATTCCTAATTTTTGGCTGCATTTTTTGACAACTCATTAGAAAATCCTGGCGTCCTTATATATATACGTGATATATGTGTATGTACATACATACTTTAAAAAAAGGTTCTGCTCTCAGTTATATATTTACTTTTCAAAAGGGAAACATTATCTTTAGGGGTGTAATAGGAGATTTGTCCAACTTAAAAAATCCACATGTCCATCCAGCCTGTCTGTCCCGAACAGACCAGCATTCGAGTGATAAAGGTCGACAAAGTGGGCGTCGCTTTTGTCAATGATCCACTCTTGGGGGAAGGGTAAAATAGTGGACCTGCAGGGTCCAGCCCTGCAAATTTCCAGGATAAAGAACATTTTTAAGTGTTAAATTTATGTCAAAATACACGCGTTGAACCATTTTTGCCATAGTTACGGCCAAATGTATAGATGTCAAGATTTATGTACATATATCCAAGATTATGTAACAATCTGTGAAGAAATTTTCTAAACTTTCCAAAATTGACGTATGGAGAAGATTTGGAACAAGTTTATGCAACAATTTATACAAAAATCATGTGGAGTTTGTAAAACTTTGCGTCAAACTTTATGCAAAAATCTATCTACAAATTTATAAATACAAAAATAAATATGGATAAATTTGAAAATACATAAATGTAGACAAATTTATGAACAAATTTTAAAATATAAAAATATGCACAAATTTATGTCAAAATTTGGACATGAATGACAGATTGTGGACAAATTTATGAAAAAATTCTATCATACACAATTCTGAACAAATTTATGTCTGCATGTATGTACAAATTTGCACATATCTACAAAAAATGAAGATAAATCAATGTCCAAATTTGAATTCACCTGTAATTCGCGGCAGCTTCCTGCCTCCCATCCCGAGCTGGAAATCACTTCCTATCCGTCCCGCAAACTGGGCTCCTAAGGATACTCCAATCACGTGAATTCTATCCAAATCGATGACACCTTCATAGTTGAGCCACTGTATAAAATTGACTGCCCTTTTTGCCGCCGTTTCTATATTATTCTTCGCTATTACATACAACAGGGGTAAGTCGAGAGGTGAAATTACCCGCCCTGAAAGAGCGGACCAATCGACAAAAATAATATTTGGGTTCATCGAGCTCATCTTGTTCTTGATAAAACTTCCTGAAATTAACATATAATGTTTTATGATATTTACAATATCTTGAAGAAACTAAGGTCTTTTGGGGAAGATATGTATGGTCAATGTTAATGAGATATCGAAAAAAGCGGTTTCCATGAATATTTATAATTTTTCAATATATTATCGGACGGTCGCCAAAAGTTGGAATCAGAGTATATATAAATTTGTTAAGGTTCGCGAGACCAAGTAAACTCTTCAGAGCCAAATGTTCCCCGGAATTTAACAAAGCAATATATTCGAAGTTTTAATCCCATGAGTGACATTGAGGAAACTTAAAAAAACATCTCTATTGTCTATCCTTCCCAAACAAGCAGACCATACAAATTTGAAATTTTAGAAATCTTACCACTATTTCCCGTTATATTAACTCTTGTTAGAAACCCATGGATAAGAAAAACTGTTAATTCTCCACGTCTGTAGGGACTCGAATTCAAAGAATTGCTGTCCATGTACCTAATTTCTTCGAGACCACTGCAAAAAAACGAGGAACAATTTTTACTTTCCACATGTAAGGGAGAGCACTCAGAAGGAAGAGGCAACCCTCGTAGGGTTGTAGAGGGAGCGCGACCAAGAGCGTTACGGTTTGTGGTGAAGCGAGTTGAAGGAGAGTGCTACTTACATATAGAGACAGCGAGCGGTTAGAACCCTGTGTCTGCCTGTGAGAGTGAGTAACCAAAGAACAAGTGGAACTTTGGCTCACTGGTTAATAGTTATGGCAATGCTTTTAAGCATGGCTATGTATTTAAGAATGGACCAATGGTGAACGAGAGAGAGCTCAACTGAGCAGTGGCGAAGGGGGTGAGTGCGTATCTTACTCTAGTTATACCGAGTCCTACTCGTGTTATATAAGAGTTATGCGGTGGACTGGAGTCGAATCAGGAAAGTGGTGGTGGCACTGGACAGTAAGTACATACTTAGAGATTTATTTAGGTAAGAGTTATTAGTTAGCAAGAAAGGGGCTTAGAGCCTCTACCTCTGTCCTCAGTGGTAGTGCCAGCCGCTGGCTTGTTAGTAGAGAGAGTAATCATACATACATGTGCATGGAAGTTGACTCGTCGCGAGTCAAGAACATAGTGCTCGGAAATGGGAGCTCGGACGCTCCTTAAATAGTGGGCTGCGGGTATCTCACCCGCATTAACTTAGCTGGCCTTCACGGCCAAGCCAGTCTATGACCTCGTCTAGACTGGTTAATTAATTTAATTAAGTCGACGCGATGGAATTCGCGTTGTGTAGGCTTTCAGCCTTGCACACACTTAAAAATAACGTTACCCTTTTGAAAAATAAATGCACTCTAAATTTTAAATTGAGTTCACTATACTAAATCTACTAGGGTAAAGTTAAATCTTGATCAATTTGACTTTGTACTGGATTTTTGTTTACTTCGTTTAATATCGAATTCGGGGTGCATTTACTTTTCAAAAGCGTGACGTTATTTTTAAGCATGTATTTAATAATCGTGCAATTTCAGGTAAATCACACATAATTTTATAAATATTTATACATTCGGAGGCATATGTTGGAAAACATTGTACAATGGGCCGTCCTTAAATTACGTAAGGCAAAAATATCGGTTTTCTAGACCACCTTTAACATGATTTGCCAGACCCCCTGTCCCACCTTTAACATGTGTAACAGGTACGATATCATTGGAGCCTAGATCCCCCAGCCCCCTCTTGTGTTACCTAATTTATGGACGGCCCCAAAATTGTATTGTATGAATTTATCATGGCTGATACATAAACGGTGATTTCGAGACCCAATACTTTGGTTCCCACGTGGTTTCTATGTACACACCTTTGAGAATTCCTTATGTAGAACTTCACTTCATTCGGATTGAGACTAATTTCAAACGGGAGTAATAAATTTGAACAGCCTGAAAACACACTAAAAGTGAAGCTAACGAAGACAATCCATCCCGGAAAAGAATCCATAGTCGATGTGGAAGCAATTAATCTGCATACTTAATAATTTGGAGACAAATCGTAACTCGTAAGGTGTCTTATTTTTTGGTAATGATTAAGGGGTTGTTTTATTCATCACCAAGGGAAAACATGTCAAAAACTACTGCACGCACATATGTATCATTAAAAATTGAACATTTTTATTATTTGAAAGTAAGATTTTTGTAAGTACTAAATTTTTCTCACATTATTAATTTGGAGGGTGACGATTAAGGAGAAGTTTTATGTATTTATTGCGGATGAAGAAAAATCAGAGCTCATGATCCAAACACAGGTGACGTCGTTGTTACTAAAAAAAACTTGAGTAATCTTGTATAAAAATTTTGAATAATTTTTCTTTAATTTTTCTTTCATTACCAAAAACCTATGCGTACAGCTTTGCTTAGCCCGAACCAGGATTGATTAGTAAACCTATGTTTGTCAGAATATTATACTGTTTTTCACTAATTCGTGCATTAACTAACGTCACTTCAAGTGACTCACTTGGTAGTATTGCTTGGCACCAAATACCACGAGCAGTGGAGGCTGTTCGTATATAAATTTCGAAATTCAACCCTCCTAAATTCTAATCCAAATTTATTTTTCGACTCTACACTAAATTTTAGCTTAACATATAAACTCTTTGAAATCGGTATTAGTAGCCCTTCTGGTTATTTTTTGTACATCTTTCACTCCATTTAATTTCAGAGGAAGCAATTGAAGTATCACCGTTCCGAATTTCGGCTTTTTACGACAAGTTCTGAAAATCGATATGGGGCCCACAACGGGTCCCGGCTTTAAAACCAACTACTAATAGTAGTTGGTACCGGTCATTATGGGGAAATTTTTGTCGATTGCGAATTATTCGCAATCGTCGCTGCAAAATTGCAGCTTCTTTAACCAATTCCAAAAACCCCACTGGGTCCTCCTGGCAAAAAAATCTTAAAGTTTACTTTACATTTATTAAGCTAATCTAACCCTGCAGGACCACGCCAACTTTTAGTCGTCTACGCCCGTTTTCCAAACCAATGGGGGTGACCAGTGTGTGCAAAAAGTCAGCCTTGTTGCTATTTGTTGCTATTTGCCTATTTGCCTTTTTGCGTGCCTTTTTGAACTGTATAGAAAACGCAATGAATAGCTTTCACTTTAATTTTATTTCTTCTCATCTCGCCAATTCAAGTATGACCAATTTCTCGAATATCAGTTACCAATTTTTAAAATAGCTACTTTTAACGGTATGGGTCACCCCCTAGGCTACTCTGGTTCCACTTTGTTCGCTTTTAACTTGATATACTTCCATACGAGACCATTAAGTATCACCATACCGAATTTCATCTTTTTAAGACAATTTATAAAAATCGGTATGGGCCACCCCCTAGGATCGCTCCACATAAAAATTTTACTAATTTAACTTCATATTATTTCATTAGGAGCTATTAGAAACGTCAATGGTAAATTTCAGCTCAATTAAATGATTTTCAAAAATCGATATGGGTCACCCCCTCGGGTCCCTCCAGATAAAAAATTTGACCAATTTCATTTAATGTTCTTCCTTAAACCCCATACGCAACCTATCTACCAAATTTCAACTCGATATGACGATTTTGACAAATCAGTATGGGTCACCCCCTAGGGTCTTTCAAAATAAAATTTTTTCCAACTTAAATTCATACTCTTTCATTAAACACCATTAGCAACCTCAGTGCCAAATTTCTGCCTTCTATGACAATTTTGAAATTTTGATGCATAATACCCCATCCACCTATATGACCCCCACTGGTCAACCACTTGACCGATTTCGCCCATCTTCGAACTTAACTCCTCATTTGCCCCATACTACATGTGTAGCAAATTTCAAGTCGATAGGATGAGTTTAACGAGAGTTATCGTAAGACGGACAGACGGACGGACGGACGGACGGACGGACGGACATGATGGTTCCATAAGCCCTGACTCGGGCTAAAAATTTTTACCAATTTCACTTCATATTCTTCCATTAGGAGCCAGTAGCAACCTCTGTACCAAATTTCAGCTTTCTACGACCATTTTTTGTAATTTTGGTGCATGATACCCCACCCACTCCGATGACCCCCACTGCTCAACAACTTGACCGATGTCGCCCATCTTCGAACTCGTTTCCAAACGTTGTCCAGTATGCATATGGTAAAAACTTCAAGTCAATCGGTTACCTCGTTCGAGAGTTATCGAAAGACAGACAGACAGACAAGCAGACAGGCAGACAGACAGACAGACAGAGGACATGACAATTACATAAGCCCTGGTTCGAGCTAAAAATTGGAGTGTGCGTAACTATGTGTATACCTCCGCCGGTGACGATTTGTCTCCAAGTAAGTGACACTGGGGATTATAATATTTCGATTCTTTTGTACACTCTGAAATATAATGTTACCCTTTTTGAAAGTGAATGCACGCTGAATTCTAAATTAATAAGCTGTTCAACATCCAGCGTAAACTTTACTCTGGATTAAGTCAATTTTACTCTGGATTTAGGTAGAGTAGAATGGTTTAAACAATATTGAATTCAACCTTTCAAGAGGGTAACACTATTTTTAAGGTGGTAAACTCTTAACTCGAAGTAGCGAGAAATTCTCAGGCAGAATTTTCCGATACGAAAAATTATTTGTACAAGTTGACTTTGCCAAGCCTGACTGCAAACTAAAATTTACATATCACCGTTGTCAAATTCGTGTCGTGTTTTTCGATTGATAGTGATAGAGAGTATTGGCTTCTTGCAATAAATATGTGAAACTGGTTTGGGAAAAAAACTTGTCGAAAGGTTAATACATTAAGAAATCCGGTTATAGCGTTACTCAACCAGCTCTGGTGATATGGTTTTTTACCGTGTTGGTGGTGGTGTGCTTCCGTATGGTTATTCAGTACCACTGAGCAGATGGTAGGTTATTTCCATACTTGACCAAGTTGTCACCTATCGGTGGCGTACATATGTTCACTATTCCCATAGAGTCGCATACCGTCATTAACAAAATGGCTGATGCAACGACATATTTGGTATTTCGATAGGATATCATAATTATTCATAGAATTTACATATTTTTGGCCGCTCATTTTGAATCTTATAAAGAATTCTGACCTTTGACCTGTCAGTGACATTCAAAATTGACGAAGCGGAAATTGTCCGTGGATACTTTTGACATTTGATTACGAAGTTCTGAATTCTAAAAGTTATGATATCATATCGAAATAAAAAATATGTCGTTGCACCAGCAATTTTGTTACATACTGTATGCGACTCTATACGGGTAGTATAACTATACACTCTTAGCAAAACGGTATTGAATCTTCACCAAACGGAGTGCATATATGACTTAACCGGAGCGGTGATAACGGGCAACACCGCATAGTGAAAAATATACACAATTTTGTTGTGATGAAAACTCATCACTTGGAATCAAACTATTACCAACCCGGGGAGAAATTATCATCAAATCAATACCATCGCGGAGTGTACATATGACTTCACCACTTTGCTAAGAGTGTATGTACATATTCGCGCAGTGCATATTTTTGTATGTACAGCTACGTACGTCGAATGTTTACTCATGTATCTACATACCCATGTAAATACATAAATATTTAAAAATGTCAATTGTTATTTAACAAAGAGTGAAAAATATTTTTACGAAATAACTAATGATCTCTATACGCGAAACCTTTCACAAGTGCATATTCATATTGAGAATTTTGTAAGCTTTTACTATATATCGTTTTTAAAAGTGGAAGAAATTCGGATTTGTACATTTCTTAAACAGTTGTGAGAAATGTAGCAATGGATAATTTAATGATCAATAAAATCTCAGCAGGTATTAATTTAATGATTAATTGCGTAATATAAAAATAATAATTTTTAAAAGTACATGGGTGCATTCACTTTTTACATGCAAATTTGGTAGGCATAAATTTGTAATTTGGTAAAATTAACTAAATAAATCAATTCCTACGTAAAAATTAGGCCATGCATTTTGTCAATTCCTCCGTCAGTACATACATATTTATATGTTTTGTTCTGTCGCAAGTGGTCGAGCAACAAGTATTACATATGTACATTCATTCCAATACGAATCACAAATGTACATATCATCCCTCTATATTATTCCTACTATATGTATGAAAGGTACAATCCTTTACTTGCTGAACAACTCTGAACCCCTCCAATAAGTTCAACGATATGGGTAGCATATATTCATGCAGTGCATAAATACGTACATATGTATGAACAGCGATATACATACATACATACATAATATGTATGTCAAAATTTGTCCGTTAGAATATAGAATATCAGTGGTTATCTATTTAACAAAGAGTGAAAGATATTTTTCCGACATAACTGATCCAGAAACGTTAAATTTCCACTTTACGTACATACATACATATGTACAAAAACTTGTTCATTAATTTAAATTGTTCATTGAAATTTGCAAAAGTAATATTGAAAAGTACCAATTCCATGAAGTAAATTAAGCATTTGATTACTTATAAGTTCTATTTAATACTGACGTTGACTTGATTATTACTATTTTCTGAATTATTTATCTAGTTTTCCGGTGATCAAAGTGTTGTTTCCGGACTAATTGTTTAACTCGGAGAACTTAATTCTATTTACCCCGACATTTCGTAAGTAAATATATATCTACGTTTTTATGTTTCCCAAGAGGAAATAATTTCGCATTGGTCTTTTCTGCATATGTTTATCAGGGGGTAGACATGTATCTAAGTATTTACGCAAAATACATGAAATATTTATTTAGAAATTTATGAAAAAACTGCTAAAAACTTTTGCGAAAAAAGATAATAAAAATAAGAATTATCGCAAAACCTATATTTTTAAATTTAATGATGAGGTCTTTTTTTATCCGACTTCTTGGAGTAAGATAATTATGTCATATTAAATAGTAGAAAAATTTACAAAATATATATCCATACTTTTTAAAACAATATCGAAAATAAATATGCATGTAACTACGCATTTATGTACAAAATAAAAATAGTAGCAGAAATATTTACAAATATTTCGTCTGTAAAGCTAGAAATATGGATAAATAGTTTGAAATTTTGCAATCTGCTTTTTTTAATCCATTGTACTTACGATAGACAATCGGTCGTCATCAAATGAAAAGGTTAAAATAAATACATATCCATCCTCTGGTATTTTACGCTTAATATACTATTCTAGTTCCCAATTTGAATTTTGCTAATCTCACAAAATAACTCTTATCCAACAGTTCTTCACCACAAAATGTCCACCAACGAAATGAACGAATTGATGAGAAACTTTCCCTCTATGAGACCCTCTACCTGCACAATTAATAACCGTGCGCAGTTAAATGCAGCGCTGGCGATGGAAAAATGTAATATCGAAACCCCCGTCGTTACAAAGGACAAGATTAAACTCTGCACGAACAAAGACCGGCACATTCTTGGGCAAGTACAATACATCCAACAAAACAAGACACGGTCCCCCTTGACGCAAACTATTGTGCGGACGGCGACCACAACGCTGCATAGCCTTCCCGAAAATTACTCCGGAAATTTCGACTTATCCGAAGCAAACCGGGTGGGATTGGCGACATTGGCGAAAAATCGGAATACCGTTCTCTGAGGAAAGTTTCTTCTTTGTCGGACGATTGCGGAAGCGTCGAAAGTCGTTCCGATTGAAACCGTGGTGGAAGATCCGATCGGAAAGTTGGGGATGAGGTTGGCGTTGTATAATTATTCGGTGGAGTGTTCCGGTTCCACTACGGATTTTCAGGAGGTTCTACCCCTCGGGATGTTTCTGGTGGTGAGAAATCCCTGGTTTAAGTCTACCGCGAGTGGGGGACTTGCTCTCAGATGTGATAATCCAGCCGAGGTGGATTTTATGAGTGAAAAGGAGTTGTCTAGACGCTTCCCAGGTTAGTATGGAATAATTTAAGTTCTCATTAACCTCTTCACGACGAAGTACACACATTTTATTTCCCGTTGACGACGGAATACACAAATGTGTGTACTCCATAAATTATGAAATTTCTCAAAAATAATAAAATTTTTTAGTATTTAGTGGAAAACTCGGTGGCAGAATTGTATTTTTTAAATATTTTTCTTCACAAATCACAAAGTTAGTAATTTTGTCTTAACAGACTAATATTAAAAACTGAACTTTTTGTACTTTTCGTCAACAAGTGAAAAATTTGTAACTGGTTAACAATTTTAATTGGTCGCAATTATCTGGATGTGAAGTTAGTAATACAAATCACACTTAATCCAGCAATAAACATTTGTGTATCTCGAAGAAATATAAGAATTTTTAAATTTCGGGTTTTCGAAAGTTGCAATTTCATTAAACTAATTGGTATCAGCAGACCAAGAGCAGCTCATTTATCTTTTACGATTCTTCGTATTAAATTAGCACTTTATAGATAAATAAAGTGATGTTTTTAACTGATTGTCCCACCTTTATTCCAGATCTGACATGGAACGCACCAATTCCATTTCCTTTCCAACATCTTGTACCCTTTTGGGATCAATATTCTACTGATCAAGACCGATTCAAGAATTTGAAAACTTTGGGCAACAAAGCATTCGTCTCCAAAAGATACACTGACGCTGACCGCTTTTACAGTTTGGCGTTGGAGTATTCCAAAGACGATGAACAGAAGGTGATAATATTTAGCAACCGATCTGCCGTCTGTTTAGCGTACGACTGCCTCGGACAAGCCCTTGTCTGGACGGAGAGGGGATTAGAATTGGATAAAACCAACGAAAAGTGTCTTTATCGCAATCGAAGGCATTAATCGGGTTGAATAAAGCAGAGCAAGCGGTCCAATGTGGATCGTGTACGAAAATTATATGGTGATGAGGACCACGAAACCGGTGAAGGAACGGGACGAGCTTCTAGTTAATTATGTTAACTCAACTCAGGATTTCGAGGAGAGAGTGGAATTTTTTGAATCGCATGGTTAGAAATTTGATATTTTGATTAAACTCGTGGTGTGCACACTCTAAATAAAAAGAAGTAAAATTTACTCAAGGTTGAGTAGAAAAGAGGAGGATCCCGATCAACAAAAGCTATCACTTTTACGCAAAAGTCATACAGTTAAATTGCAGCAACTGATGGCCGGCAAAAATCCGTGAAAAGATACTAGATATTTAACGTAAAATAAACTGTCAATATTGCATAGAATTGACAGTCATATTCATGTAATTTAGCCTCAAGAATATTGCGTACAAATAACCGTCAAATTAATGCAATTTAGAGCGTAGAATATTGCGCAAAAGAAACAAATAATTTGATGCAAAACTTGCAGTTAAACTCCATGCAATTACTGCAGTCAAATAACACGAATTATTAATTTTTATCAAAATCATTTATTTCATAGCAAAAATTATATTGTTACATTATACAATGGAATGCAAATGTTTTCATCTATTTTATCCGACGGGAGTAACCAACATTTCTTATCAATATCATTAATACCTATTATGGTTACGCTATTTGATAATTTGCTAACTTTAATTATTCCTAAAATTTTACTTTCACACGGACAAGTGAACAAGTTGTCCGAGTGTTTGAATTTTCTACAATTTATATGTTTTTTATCTTTACTTATACTACTTATAACAACTACTTTCCCATCCTTTAATATAAAGCAATGATCCTTTCCGTTCGATTTTATAATACAGTGTCTATTTAAATTCACAGGGGACTGGTACTTATGATTTTCTCTCTCAGCAGTGCGATTCACAGTTTGCTCAAAAGGTTTATAGTGAGCTCGTAGCGAGCGCTTTATTACTTGCATATTATTTTCGAAATCGAAAGCACTAAAAGAATCTAACGGGCCATGCTTTAAAGCGTCATCACTAATATGTATAAGAGAATGCATATTATATGATAAGAACTCTTCTTCATATAAATTGGGAACATTTTTAACAAACTTCAATAAAAGCTGTCGTGCATAATCGTTCCAATTATTTGCTTGCGCCTTGGTAGTTATAAGAATCGTGACTGCTACGCAAAGATTTAAAAAATGTGTATACTTTTTCGGCGACAATAATCCTTTTAAAGCGACGGGTCCTGTATAAAGAAGAAAAGTTCTAAACTCTGTCGCTTTCCACATATCTAACTCTTTTACTGACCTCGGCTTACGACAAAATTCTTTAGGGCAACTATGCGAAAATAATACTAATTTACTTGATAAAGTTGAAATATCACGAGAAGATAATTTAAATGGCAATGGACCTTTTACCCAACTTCTTAATAGTTTTCTAACCACACCTAAGCAAATGAGGTGCATGTAGTCAAGAGGAACCGAAGAAATCACCAAAATTTTAAGCTCCGTAAACGGGGAAATGCCTACATGGTGGTGTTTATCTTTTTGAACATAAAAATCTTGATCTGTCCTAAGTGGACTATCGAATGTTCTGAAAATTACACGTCCCTTCCAGAAACCTGGATCTATACATTTCTCGCATCCATTGTATGCATTATGACTTTTACATTGCTTTAAAAAACTCCTGGCTGGCGCATCAGCTATTATTTTTGAAACCTTACAAAATATTTTCAAATTATTGTAACTAATCCCAACTCGCAAACTTTTTAACTCTGCTATCAAATCCATCAAGTATTCGTCAATACTTTCTGGTTTTGTCTTGCCATAAAATAAACCCACGACAAATACGCCGTACGTACTTTCTTCACACTTTGCTTGAATTGGCCAAAACTGGTTACTGTTACTCTTAGAAATGGGCAATCCATCAAAACTAAATATAAGGTTTAATTTAATTTCGCTACCAGAAGCAAGAATACAATTGGAATCTATTTGCCGTTTTATATTTTGAATAACATCAAAGTGTGCATATTGACCCTGACCGATAGTTTTCATAGAGTATTTAATTGAGTTTTTAAGCAATGTCCTACTATCCAATGGAAGAAATCTAAATTCTTGATAAAAGTTAAATATGCGTAGAAGATCGTTTAAAGCTACTCCCGTTATGTTATGTCGAAGCGACCAGTCCCTCAAGTCCCGTGTTAAATCTAAAATATTTCTATTATTTTCTACTACACCATTGTCGCTTAGTGAATCGGAAACTAATGGCTCGTCACTATTATGGATAACATTACTGCTTCTATCATTATTGCTAATATTACTACCTGAATCGCTATCCTCAACGACAGAATCACATATATCTAAATTTACAAGATTATTACTAATAGCAGGTATGTTTTTTGCACGAGTGAGATTCTCTCTAACCCGTTTTGCAATTATTCGCCTAATGTTTCTCGGTGATTTTCCATCTCGATACTTTTTGAAGAACGAAACCAATTCATTGCTGCAGTTTGAATTATATCATCGGTGGGAATACGGCCGCTGGGATTTTTGGGATCGGGAACGGACTCAACTGTAAAGACGTTTCGCACGGTTTCTGAAATTTGCAATCCAATTAAACATTAAATAGAGACCAACAATTAGAAAATTTTCTTCATTTTAGAATATATTTTAGCACCTTTTACGACTTCCAATAGTTTTAGGTTTTTCATCGATGTCTTGTTTCCTTTACCCGTAAAATTAATTCGCCTGCCAAATTCATTCGTAAATAATTTTTTCAAGATTTTTCTAGTGCTCGCCTCGATCTGTGTCGCAGTTGAAAATGCCAAATATTCAACCTAGTATCAAATATAAGAAAAAACATTAAAGTTTAATTATGCATGTAAAATATCTCGATTAAATCGTACCAGTAATTCGCGATTTGAATCCACCTCGAGCCAAGATTCAAACTCCGCCAGTGCTACCTCGTTGTCGAGGGGTAATTTTGGAATGGCACTGAAATTGGGAGCCTTCCTACCATCCGGCCTTTGTTTCACATTAATCAGTAAAGCCTTAATGTCTTTAATGTCTTCAGCCTGCTTTTCCAACAAAGTTAGCACACTTTGCGTTGTCCCTGCAACGTGATTACAAAACGTTAACATAATATATCAATTTTAATAAAATTATTTTGCTTGTACTAACTTGAAATCAACAGCCGTAAATCATTTAACTCCTGCGAATTTACAACAACAAAAGAGGTGTCTCCAGTTTCACCTTGATTTCCTACTTGTAGATTGCTTTGCTCTTCAGTTTCGGGAATTATTTCAGGAATGCTCAATGGTTGGTCTAAAAAGTATCACCATAATGATTAGTATAAAATATTTGTGGCAGTATCATAAGCCTACCCAGCTCCAAATTATCCAGAAGTGAGCCAGACGGAGGACTGTTTTTGTTCGCGTCGCTATCCTCCTCATCGGATGAAGACGTTACATCCCCTCGTGTGCTGCTGGGCTGAATATCGGGAATTATCTTCTTGCTCCTTAATCTGCTTTCTGGTTCTGTTTCACTTTCCAAGTTGGAAGTGTCCTCGGCTACTTGAAGTTTTTTTGTCGCAACTTCATAATCATCTAAAATAATGATATTTGTTAGTAAGTGTAAAATAATTGGAATGACTTCTCATAATTTGAATTAAATAGCTATTTACCGTAATTCCCAATAATCCTGGCGTAGCTAACTCTTCCCCACTTGACATCAGGAATAGCAGTGCCCTTTTTTATCAAATTTCTAATACTTGGCCCAGAGTTTGGTGGCCAGAGACAAACTTTCTCTGCGGGGATAACCCAGTGACTTAGAACAAGCTCCACAGGCACTGAATTGTATTTATCAGGGGGGAATTCAATTATGTAATATTTTTTTGGCGACATTGAGACAACAGATAAATTAACAGGGAATTAAATTAACAGGGAATTTACGAGACTGCGAGGGTGGGAGAGAAAAGGAAATACCACGCTTCTCTTAGATTCAAACTCTCGCGCGTTGCCTGTCTCTTCGCACCCACCATTCATTGCGTATAAATTGCATGATTTTAACGCCTCATGTAATGTGGGTATTGACGAGATATTGGTGCGGTATTTTTACGCAATATCTCAGCACGTTTGGGTGCAATAATTTTTCAACCATAGGTTACAGTTTTTTAATGCAAATTTAGCATGTCTCACGGTGCACACCAAACTTAGCACAAAATTTATGCAATAATCACGCCTTTTTTGTTTGTTAAAAATTTTCACCATGGATGCGTTACTTTGACGCAAAAGTAATAATTTTTGTTGATCGGGATACAACCAAAAGGTAAAAGTTATCTAACCGGTGTGCAAAATTTGTCCAAATTTGTGGAAGATTTGACCAAATTTTGCAAAATTTGTCCAAATTTGTGCCAAATTTATCAAACCGGTGTGCAAAATTTGTCAAATTTGTGACAAATTTATCCAACGGGTGGATTAATTATGCACAGCGGTTGATAAATTTTACCTGTTGGTTGTGTCATCCTCTTTTTTCTACTCAACTTGGAGTAAATGTTACTTATTTTTTTAGAGTGCACGCAATTGAATATTTTAAGAAAAAAAGTTATAAAAATTAAAAATTATTTATACTTGCAGAATTTGAATGTGCCTGTACTCTCTGTACGTTGGAGCACGAAGAATCCACAACCTCAAGAAATCTTCGAACTAAGACAATGCAGGAATTACAACTTTTTAGCGACCATGACTACCTTACATATCCCGCAAAAGTTAAGAAGGCTTTAAAGCTTGTAAAAACTTTGCAAGGTTTGGGCAAGTCTGACCCAGCTTATAATGTTTGTCTTTTGCACAAATCCATTCGAATTTTGACTGTATGTCTTTATGAGAATGGAAATTATGGGAAATGTGCAGACCTCCTGGAGAAATGTATTTCTGTCGCGGAAACCGTGGGAGAAGGCGTTCCCGGATTCACGCTTAGGATTAATTTGATTCGATGCTGGATGGAAATGAAGAATATTTTAGAGTTGAAGAAACAGTTGGATATTTTGAAGAAACATGCACTTTGTTGGTTTGGATCCCTAGATGCCATTTCCATTCTTGATGAAGATATGGTCGTAGATTTGGAAGAATTAGGAATTAAGGTTTTTGATTAATTGTAATTAAAATTAAAATTACTAAAAATAAAATATTCTTCGTCGAGTCGGCCAACGTCAACTCATGGTAGTGTTTCTCACGGGTCGGGTTCTTGCAAATCCGAAACCCGAACCCGAACCCGGTACCACTGATCCGAAACCCGAGGCCAACCCGAACCCGAAGAACCCGTACCCGTTTGCAGGGACCCGAACCCGAACCCGAACTGGCGGTTCAAATCCGAAACCCGAACCTGAAAACCCGAAAATATTTTTAATTTTAAGGCATGGGCTGAATTTGTACTTAAAAATTATTTAAAAGCTTAAAAATCAACAATATTTATAATATTTCAAAAACTGCCCCAGAATGGCTTTCCGAGACCTTTAGAAATTTGAAAATCAGTCCAAAATTGGATAATTGTTTCCAGTTTGACGTTTCCAATATTATTACTTATGTAATTAGGTATGATTCAGGTAATTGCATAGCAAAATTAGGATAAAAAGTCGATTTCTTTAATAGTTCGCACCATAACACTAATTGAATCAGGCTCTTGTAAATCGTTTACCTTTTTGGAAACCATTGAAATTAAACGAATTTAAGACAACTAGAAATTGGAATTACTTACTTCAGTATTGCAACCGCTGAAGAACATGTAGTTCAACAATTTTTCTAATATCTTTTTGTGATATCGATCCAAAAAGTTTGAGGTTCTTAATCCGTACCCGAACCCGACCCGAACCCGAAATTTTGACATGACATTTTTCGGACCCGAACCCGAACCCAAAAGTTTCGGGTTCTTAAATTTCGTATCCGAAGCAGAACCCGAACCCGAACCCGAACCCGAAACCCGAAGTAAGGACCCGAACCCGTGAGAAACACTAACTCATGGGAAGAAAACGAGACAACATTTTTTTAACTAGCGGGTCAGCTTAAGGGGACGTACATACATAATGCATTTGATAAATTTTCGGGAAATTTTGACCCCTACCCTTCTGGCGTGACCTATACGCCCCAAGCTTATAATTAACATGGGGAAGATATAATGCTTTGACGGTATGATAGGTGGTTCAATCCTGGCAGTATGTAAATAAGGATGGTGTATCTACAAGGGAGTCGTGGAAGGTGTTATCACAGATTGTTATATTTTTAACCGGTTTGGGGAAGGTAACACGAAACTATGTAAATATGCAGTCTGCCACTTACATATACTTGAAGTACTGTCTCGGCTTCTCCAAGCCGCTTGAAAATTAAAAAAAAATCAGTGATGACGCGTTCCACCATCCCTTCTAAGACACGTAAATTTCTTGTAAAGATTCGCCCAAATTATACTTGATAATAATTTTATTAAATTATTCGTACATACGTCTTTTGGGGACATCCTAGAGGTCATTAATAGCCCTATTTAAAATGACTACTACAATACTTCCAAGTATATTTAATTATTTTCGACTTATTTATGTGTATATTTAATATCAAAAATTTGTTCAATTTCACGAAAACCATATGAAGTCATTCATAATATTTTTAGAAAATAAATAACAAAACCTGACAAATCATGTTTTACACGGGTCATTCATTCTGCACAAATATTTAAGATACACCTAAATCATTGTAAATCTATATATGTAAATGATAGCAAAGTTTGAAGTGTGTCTTAATCTCCCCAAAAATTGATTTCTTGTCGCAAATTTTACTCGCAAGAAATGTAAAGATGCAACAACCTGCTTCTTTCTGTTCCAGTTCATAGGGCGCGTCGCTAGAGATCGTGCGTATTTTGCGGGTTTTTGTTGGGGTTTTTACCATTTTGTGCATTTCTTGTGCAAGGAGCAAAGGCTGATTCCTATTCCAGTACTAACCAAAATCAATTTGCGTGTAGTTATTTAATATTATTTCAGTACTTTGATTATACGGGTTTTATATATTTAAATTTTTCCCTGGAACTGAACGCAGAGAATAAAGATCGTGAAAGCCGTGTTTAACACCTGCAAGAAAAATAATGAGAAATAAATTATACATGCATGCGTATACAATATATTTAGTATAAAATATGTAGTATAAAATATAATATAACAGAGGTTGGGATGAATATGTATGAGGTCACAAGAGACGAAGCTTTGTTCAGAGTAGATTACCGTAACGGGACAAGGTTAATTTGCTATATGGTTAAAACAAAAAGCGCTTCAGCCAAAGTTACGACGTTGGAAAATTCTAAACAATTAGCGGTTAAAATTAAGCCTTCAAAAGGGCAGGAAGTGTTTTTAGAAACGAAAACGTGTTGCAGGCTTGTACTTCGGACTGGGGGACATCACATCGAGAAAATTGATCATAAAAATTCATATGTACATACGTGAGTAAAATTGTTAAAAATTTCTCAAATTAAGTTCCCCATCCTCTGTAATTATCCCAACTAACTACTTTCTTACCGAAATAACCAAGGAATAATTCATGACGAACATTCCCCGTCCACTCAGCCGGACGGGATAATCTGCCAACTCTTGCTTAATTTGCATTGCAATCAACGGAGATATCGTGGAAGCTGATTGGTCTTTTACAAACGTAGCATCCGATTGATTTAATTTGTTGGAAATCCACTTTTTCAATGTTTCTACCTAATCAAGCGCATTAGGGGTACATATCAGTAAAATGAAATAATGACAGTTTTTTATTCAGTGTGGTCCAAAAGAGTGTTACAATGAGGATTGTAAAGTTAGCCCCAGACTTTTCACTTCACCGTCACTTGTTGCCCTAATCCGAATCTTTGAAAATAAGTTTTATAAAAAATTGTAGAATCAATTTTACAAAATCACAAAGACCGAGTTTGGATCCCCTAATCGTAACAGCTTTTTTGACCCACCCAGTATAACATACTTGGACCACCTACGTATAAACACGATTCCGCCGCGAAGTACAATGTGCCAGCATTAATCACCGTACAAGCCAGGAGCAAAATTCGGTCCATGGTTGACTCGTGGCTCACAAGGTCCATCACGTGGGTTGAATAGTATAACAAAATCGCTACCAAGTGCGGAGTTACCAACCGATCAAAGGCCTCGTTTAAAAGGTCTGATAACACCTTTAAATCTCCATATATTTCCAAAACTTGTGGCAAAACGAGATCCTGTCTTGTTATTAGAACATTACCAAAATATCTACACGGCACCCATAAGCCCATGGCAGCGGTTAGCATGAAATGGTCTACGGCATAAAGTATATGCATTCTGGAGATGGAACTCAGAATGGTTAACAGGCCAAGGGATGTGTCAAAACTGATGTGATGATGATAAGTGTCATTGTTATCTAGCGGTAATAATGTGGAATTTAGATTTGACGAGGTTTTAGAGTACTGTTGGAGATTGGAGTAAAAGTTTGTACGAAAAAGAGGAATATGTTTGGGCGGAAGGGCTTCCATTATTCCATCATAGATTGCGAAGGCTTGCCAAATTATCCTTAAGGAGTAAAGGAATGGAAGGCTGCAAATCTGGAATGATAAAAATAGATTTGCAACGCTAAATAATTTATCCCCGCCTCCGGAAACAATAATAATAATTTGGAATCTTACAATTTTAAGTTGCCAAGAATAAGCAAAATTCCAGAATTCCTTACACCTCATTTGATTCAAGTGAGAGAATATTTTTAAAATTTCTCGTTTCTTGTTTGTCATCGTGTACGCGAAAACTGAGAAGATCCAAAGGGACACAGCGTACCTCAAGGTGTACATGTATTCAACAGGATTGTTTCCTAACGGACGGCGCACTTGGAGAATAAATTTCGCTGCATATCCGAAAAACGCCAAGAGATATGTTATGCTACAGATAAGTTTTGGGAACCAGAAAGAAGTTGCGTCAGATAAAGCGGGACTAATTTTAAATGAGCAGCAGCCAGTGTAGTAACCCCAATTAATTAGTGAGCGAAAAATGTTGGATATGTTAGGAGAAGCTGAATATTTTATGGAGTTTGATTTACTCATCTTAAATTATTTGTCATTGGTCCTTAATAACTTAGAATTCAATTAGTTGTAGAGAGGGCCTGATCAAAATTTCCGAGTTACTAAAATTCTCGAAAATGTTCAAATAATATACTGGTCTCCGTACAATTGATTTGCCAAAAAGCAAAATTAATTGTTGTAATTATAGGCTAATTCAGTGGTTTCAAAAGCCACCCTTGCTTTTGAAACACGCAAGATTAAATTGTGTCATTGAGGATAAGGCGCGGCACTGTCATTGCAAAATGGTAATTAAATATATTAATGAGAAATGCGCGTTTATGTCTACTAAAAGGCATTTAATTTAATTATGACGTCATTTCGTTCAATCATAATTGAATTCTATTAACGTTCCTCAAATAGCAGTGGTGCTCCGGCCTTTAATTTATCTAATTCCATTCTTGAAACTGAACACGAAGAAGGAAAATGGTTAAAATTGTGTATTACGCTTGTGCTAAAATAATTTTATCGGATTAATTACTAAAATACTTTCCATTTAACTGATTGCCAATTAATTTCAATTTACGGAAATAACCATAGAATAAACATTTCTCCTACGCAAAGTCCACAAACTTAATTCACAATGGAACCCTCGTCAGTCCACGGCATGAATCTGTATTACACCAAATCTGTATACAGACCAAACGATGGAAATTAAACCCAGAAAGTCGCACCCCTTCAGGGTTTGGCTGGCGGCTTTCAAATTTTTCCAAATGAAGTTTTAGCATGCATTATATCATTTTTTTCTATCTCGATTTGGCGAACGCATTAGGAAATTCGAAACTTTAAAACAAAAACTTTTGAAGGTGTGCCCATTCAATTTAATTTTACGGATGTAATAATGTTTGGTCGGAATTTCCTCATTGGGCTGAGAAAAATGATATGTAGCTCGCCTGCCAGGGTTTTATTGAGTTTAAATAAAATAGGCGCGGAGAACCACACCCGCTGAGCAGTTTGGTTTTAAATTTCGAACTTTCGGTGAATAGTAGCCTCACCTGGTCAAAATTTCATCTTTCAATTTATATTATGATTTTGCATAAATAATTAGCTCCGTATAATTTTGGAATTGCAGTTAGGTCTTTTTCCCCGTTTTTATTGTGCACTTAGGTGGATTTAGAATTAACCACTGACTGCACTTACCCGTGAAACATAAACTAGTCCATAGGATGTCCCACGGACCAAATTTCGGGATTTAATAAAGTCCGTGGGATATCCCGATTATGACATTTAATCCTATGAAACGTCCATGGGACATCCTCCGCATGGCCGAATTTTGCTACTTTTAATACCGATTTGGATGATCCATAACACATCCATTGGATGTCATCTTCCTCCATGTCTACTTGTCCGCTGTACGTCCATTCGATGTCATCGCTTAGATGTATATATGGGCAGTATTTAGTCGCTTATTAAAGTTCACCTCGTATTTT